GCTAGATACTAGTCTACATAGGGTCACCAGGGAGAGGAGCGGCTGCCAGCCGCTGAGCAGAAGGCCCAGTGACAGTAGGGGACGGTTCGGGCCCGGTGAACAGGGCGGTGGAGGGGTTAACCCTAAAATGACCACGGGCCTGGTGAGAGTTCAGGCGTGGCGGCGCAGGGCGAGGGCTAGTGCTAACGGAGGAAGGGCATGGGCAGAGGGGCGGGCTAGGCGCTGCCTGGGGCGCGGGTTGGTGCGTGGGCTAAGCGCGGGCTGGTGCGTGGGCTAGGCGCGGGCAAAGGGCAGGCCAGGCGCGGGCTAGGTGTGGGCTCGGGCTAGGCGCGGGCTGGTGCGCGGGCGTGCAATAAGGGAGGGCGCGGAGACGTGGAGGCGCGAAGGCGGAGGCGCGGATGCACGAGGCGCGGAGGCGCGGAGGCACGAGTCGGAGGTGTGGATGCGCAAGCTAGGGTGCGGGGCTTGGGTGACGGCCTAGGGCGTGGGCCTAGGCGACGGGCTAGGGCGCGGGCTGGGGCGACGGGCTAGGGCGTGGGCTGGGGCGACGGGCTAGGGCGTGGGCCTGGGCGACGGGCTAGGACGTGGGCCTGGGCGACAGGCTAGGGCGCGGGCTGGGGCGACGGGCTAGGGCGTGGGTCTGGGCGACGGGCTAGGGGCGCAGGCTAGGGGCACAAGCTAGGGGCGTGGAGGGTGCTAGGCGCGGAGGTCTGCGACGGCGCGGGCTAGCGGCGCGAAGGGCGCTGACGCGCGGAGGAGGAGGGCGCGCTAAGGCACGGAGAGGGCGCGGAGGGCGCGGAGGCTAACGCGCGGAGGGCTCGGAGGTGCGCTAGAGAGGGTGCGGAGGTGCGCTAGAGAGGGCGCGGAGGTGCGCTAGAGAGGGCGCCGAGGTGCGCTAGAGAGGGCGCGGAGGTGCGCTAAAGAGGGCGCCGAGGTGCGCTAGAGAGGGCGCCGAGGTGCGCTAGAGAGGGCGCGGAGGTGCGCTAGAGAGGGCGCGGAGGTGCGCTAGAGAGGAAGTAACGAGGAACTTGTTGGAAACAAGTGATTTAAGCGCATCTGTCGTGTCGAAACACCAAGTCATAATTGAAGCGAAAAACAGCGAAGCATCGGCGAGTCAACCCTCGGAGGTTGAACAACTGCTTAGAGGTTACGCAAAATTCAAAGGTCAGCGACCTTTGACCTGACAAGTACAGCGCGGGAGCAAGGACAAACAACTGACTCGTTATTGAGCAGTTGCCCGAGTCGTCACTGTATCGAACCGCAACAGCAACAATAAAACAGTTATTAGCTATAAACCTTCACATTCCCTTGTACTCTTATAAAAGCTTGTATCTCTTTGTTTTAATCAATCTACTTTGCCCTCACATACCAGCGCAAGGTGGTTCACAGACTCATCATTAAACGCTTCCGCTATTACATTGTCTCTACTTAGAGTTTAGTCCTGCAAAGATCCTAAGGGCTTTTTCTCAGCCCAACATGGTATGAGAGCAGTCAGGGCAAACTCCACTATCAAGACACCTACAACATCAGAAGGCATGGCTACAAAGAATGCGAGAAGCTCCTCTAACGGCTCTCCCGGCACTACTCCTACTCCACCTCTTGCCTCTGGCCTACAGACAGAGAAGGGCACGGCAACAAGACAAGCAGCTAGGTCTACTGAAACTCCCGCAAATCAAGCCGCGGGCTTCGACCCAAGCATGATGGAGAAGTTCTTCTCCTTCATGTCCTTCTACGAACAACACCAGCAAACGGCACTTGCGTAGTCAAACAACAGCAGCAACAACAACGAAGTAACGCCCATGAGTCTCGACGGCTCATCCTACGCGCGCGGAAATCAGCAGCAGCAACCCTCACCTGGACAAGAGAAAACGTTAGACGCACTTCAAGTCCAGTCGCATTTTGCGCACGTCTTAAAACTTCAGACATCAAGACCGTTCGACGGGAAGGATTTCTTTACCTGGTCATTCGAGTTCGAGCTGATGATGGAAGGCGCGCAAATTCTTGGTTTCTTCAACGGGTCCCTACCATATCCAACACACGGCACACAGTACGACAAGCAGCAGTACGCATATCTGTCAATGATGGCATACACAATTCTGCTGAGGAACATCACTCCGAATCAGCAGCAGAACATTCGGTCTTACCGGGGATACGGCAACTCCGCCGAGCTCACGTACAATCACCTGAAGAACCTGTATCAGGCAACAGACAGCGCCAATCAGAGTCGGTTAATGGCACAACTAACAACAGTGGAAATGAAACCGGGCAAAAAGGGGATGGCGTATATCAGTCGCTGTCGCGAATTGCGCGACAAGCTTCTTCGATGCGGAGGGACGATATCCGAGGATGCATTCGTCACAGTCGTCATCACGGGACTTGGTCCTCATTGGCGCTCCACTCGAGCCATTCTTCGAGCCCACGGGAAGATCTTTGAAGCGGCACTCTGCGCCGAAATTCACGCCGAACAGCAAGACATAGATCTGCACGAGGAACGACACAAAAGGAAGACATTAGTACCTGAGTTCGCATTTCACACCCAACGGCGCTTTAACAGCTTCAGCCGACAGAATAAGCAACAACACCAGCAGTACATACCACCGTTTTGTCATCTCTGCAAGACGCCTGGACACTCCTGTACACACTGTCAGAGTTTGCGATAGTCAACAACGCCACAACGACAGCTTCGACCTTCAAGCAGCCAAGTCGCCTCAACACAAGCACACCCTGTTTCTCAAGCCCAAGCCTTGACAACGTCGAAAACTCAACCTGCACAAGGGACGAGAAACATAGTGAGCTGCATGGCGAGACTATTGGACTCCTGCATCACTAAGTCACCACCATTTTACTCACAAGAAGAGCAACTTGACAAAAGCACTCCTCGACGCGAGACACTGGAGACCAACCCAACATACGCAGCCATCGCCTAGGGCGAGCCATCTGGGAAAGACACTTGGTTCTTGGACAGTTGCTGCGGGCAGCATATGTGCTCCTCGGGTCATTTTGTTCAACGCGAACACCAACTTCAGCGCGAAGTCGTCATCACCGTCGCCAACAATCAGAACCTGCGCACACGACGACAGGGCGTACTGCAACTTCGATCACGAGAGACAAACGTCATACTGCAAATGTCAAAGGTTTTAATTGCGGAGGGACTCGGCTACAACTTACTGAGTGTCAGTCAGCTGATGGTGAAAGGTATCCACCTCGAAGCAGACAGCACAATACAGGAGTTCAAGCTGTACCACGGGACAGGAGGCCTCTACATCGGCAAGGCCGTGCTGAAGAACAACGTGTTCGTCCTCGACTTCGTTCCATATTTAGGCACCGCCGACAGTGACGGAATCGTCATCTTCACCTCCTGGACGCATCCACCGGATCTCGATCCTAACTTCAGCCCCGAAGGTTTCTGGTATTCGCACACCATTTCTGAGGCAGAACGAACAAGAGCATTAGCGACGATTCAACATTTGACAGCAGCAGAGACAACATCTGCAGCAGCAGAGACAACATTGGCAGCAGCATAGACAACATCGGCAACAACAGAAACAACGTCAGCAGCAGCAGAGACACCGATAACAGTAGCGGCAACATCAACACCAATCGCTGGTCCTTCAACGGCACCGATCTTCTTCGACGACACACCACCCACTCCCGCGCAACAGCTGAATCCGGCTCAACAAGAAGTCCATCGAAGCGCCAACTTCATCGCCAGCTTGTATTCCAACTCCGCTTTGTATCGACGCTCACCCGGACATCGCGCCACCGAAGGAACCTGGCACGCAAGAATGGGACATCCAAGCAACACGGTGTTAAATAACACAATAAGAGTAGGCGTGCTCGACAAAGATTCCCTACTTCTAACTGACGGCAGAGAACCCCAGCGAGTCCGCAGAACATGCTTCACCTGTCCTGAAGCCAACTTACCGCATCAGCCGTTCGTTTCTCACCACAACCCGAGCGCACCAGCTTACGCACCAGTTGAGAAAGTGTACAGCGACATCCTGTACAACCGCAAACTTGGACAAGGAACGTACAACTACGTCATCACGTTCATCGATGCCGCCACACGCTACGTTTGGCACCTCAATCTTCCGAGTGTCAGAATATTATGCTCTAGCCTGTAGTGGGGTGCTCCATAGCGAGTACAACCCTTCTAGGGTTTGCTATTTGTATCCCCATTCTTGCTAGTTCAACCCTCTTCTTTCTTCTAAACTTTCACATGCTATCAAAGCAGGTCGATCCCCTTGGATCGATCCTGTGGGTGGGTTACCACCTCCTCGCTTCCGCTGCAACACCTACACTACTCTCTGAGCCGCACGCCCCGTGGCGTGCGGCACTTTTTTCTTCCCGCCGTGCGCCCCGAGGCGCGCGGCGGTTTTCGGCCCGCCGAGCGCCCCGAGGCGCGCGGCGGTTCTCTGCCCGCTGTGCGCCCCGAGGCGCGCGGCGGGCTTCTACCCCGTCGTTCGCCGCGTCGCCCTCTGGAGGCGCCGCGACGGGCGATGGGGGGGGCCCGTCGCGGCGCACCGAGGGCACGTACACGCCGCCCGTGCGCCGCCCGTCCCGGCCCCGCGCCGCTGCCCCCGGCCCGTCGACGCCCGCGCGCCGCCCGTCCCGGCCCCACGTCGCCCGTGCGCCGCCCGTCCCGGCCCCGCGCCGCTGCCCCGGCCCGGCGACGCCCGTGCGCCGCCCGTCCTGGCCCCACGCCGCCCGTGCGCCGCCCGTCCCGGCCCCACGCCGCTGTCCCGGCCCGTCGCCGCCCGTGCGCCGCTCGTCCCGGCCCCGCGCAGCTGCCCCGACCCGTCGCCGGCACGTGCACCGCCCCCCCCTCCCCCCCCTCTTTTCCCGTCGCCTGTCGAGGCGACCTGAGGGGGCCACGCGGGAGGGGCGACGTGGGGGTGGGGGCGAGCGTCGCCCCTTCTGCCGCCTACTTTGGCGCCCAGGGAGGCCGCGCGTCGCCCCCCCCCCCCCTCCCCCCCTCCCCCCCCCCCCCCGTAACCTCCCTACCCGCCATCCCGCCCTGCCCTGTGTTCGGGTTTGGGGGTGGCGAGTGGGGGGTGTGTGGTCTCCCCTACTCCTCCTCCTCCTCCTCTGTCTCCCACTGCTGTAGCTGCCGCTGAGGGGGGTGGGTGTGTGGGAGTCGACGGAGTCGTGCTAGGGGGTGGGGTGTGAGTGACCCTAGGGGTGCAGTAGGGGGTGTGTGTCAGGGGGGGTGAGATTGTTTGGGAAGCTGAACGGAGGTTGCCGTCGTGTCGCCAGCAGCACCTGTATTCCGGGGACTTCGTCCGGTAGCCCAGTCGTAGCCAGCTGTGCCAATCGCCCGTGGGTCCGTTGCTCGTCTGCCGCTACTTTAGCCGCGGGGCCAGTTACTCCAGTAGTCCGGAGAGTTGCTACGGTAGCCACTATGCCAGTGTGCCTCCTGTTGCCCGTTTGTCTGCAGCTTCAGCCGTCGCCTCCTATCTCCTCTCCTCTCACTCTCGCCTCCTCCTCCTCACTTGCCCTCTGCGATAGCCTCTAGCTTTGCTCATAATTGTTAACTTTAAACTATTGCTTCTTGAACTTGTGCTCAGAATGTCTGGTGACATTGTGATCCACCCTGAGCTTGTACTGCTTTGCTTGCTCTGCTGATTACACCCCACTTTGGCTATGGGGGTGTGTCAGAATATTATGCTCTAGCCTGAAGTGGGGTGCTCCATAGCGAGTACAACCCTTCTAGGGTTTGCTATTTGTATCCCCATTCTTGCTAGTTCAACCCTCTTCTTTCTTCTAAACTTTCACACCGAGCAAAGACATGGCGTTCGAGGCTTTCGTCGCCTGGCTCCCAGTAGCAGAACGAGAATCAGGCGTGAAGCTAAAGAGCTTCCAGTCAGACAGAGGAGGAGAATACACCTCACAGAGGTTCAAGCAGTACTTGGCAAAGAGGGGAATCAAGCGGCTCATCTCCCTTCCCTACGCCCATCAATAGCAAGGTGTAGCAGAAAGAATGAACAGGACCCTCCAGAACACCATGCGCAAGCTGCTACGTGGCACGCACTTACCCAACCACCAGTGGCCTGAAGCAATGGACCACGCTGTGATGCTGAACAACTTGCTCTCGTCATCATCGCTCCCGAACAACGCATCACCGCATATGCTGTGGAGAGGAAAACTGGGCAGCACAAAAATGTTAAGAGTTTTCGGCTGCATGGTACAGTACCGACCCCCATCTACACGAGCCGGCCGATTCTCCCAACACGCACAGTGGGGACTACACCTGGGCATAAAAAAACAGTACAACGCATGGAAGATTTTCGACATCGACACAAAGGAAATAGTAGCAGCACGTGATGTCATCTTCTATGAGAATCTCACCCTCCAGACATACCTTGCCAACGTGGAAGAAAACAACCCTGACCTCTCGGGGGATTCCTTGGCACCTGAGCCTTCGCTTCGGCAGAAGATGAAGCTGACTGGGACGAGCAGAACGTGGAAGGAGCCTCGGAGGAAGCTGGACCTCTTCCCTACTGTTCAGTCGATGTTCCGATGGACGACGAAAATCCACGCAATAGCATCAACGCCGAAGTTTACTATCACTTCGCCGACAATGGTTACGTTACACCTGCACAAGTCAACACCGACGAAGGAGAACACGTAGGACCAAATTTCAACCCAACACCAGAAGCGGGAGACGAAGCAGTCTATCCCGAGGATACAACACTTTCCCGCTACACACAGAGTGGACTCCAGATACTCGATCTCGTCACCGCGGTTCACGACGCAGCACTTCCTAAGGAGCCTGCCACAGTTCAGCAGGCTCTGAGAGGGGAGCATAGGGAGAAATGGCGCGAAGCCATGGACAGGGAGCTGAAAGCACTGGAGGAACGCAACACTTGGAAAGTTGTTCCCATCAGCGTGGCACAAAACAAGACAATACTCACTTGGAAATGGGTCTTCCATGTGAAGACAAAGGCAGACGGTACTTTCAGAATGTCATGGTTCTCTAGCCTACAGTTGGGTACTAATAGCGAGTACAACCCCTTAGGGTTTCCTATATGTATCCTGCTGCTTTCTAGTGAACCCCCCTCTTCCTTCATTCTAAACTTTCCACTACGATTTCACATGCTAGCAGAGCAGGTCGATCCCCTTGGGTCGATCCTGTGGGTGGGCTCACCACCTCACTGCTTCCGCTGCTACTGCTACTCTGTGTGTCGCACGCCCATGGCGTGCGACGGATTTTTCATCCCGCCGCGCGCTCGGAGGGTGCGGCAGTTTTCTGCCCGCCGTGCGCCCCGAGGCGTGCGGCGGGCGCGCGGCGGGTTTCTGCCCCGTCGCTCGGCGCTGCGACGGGCGACGGGGAACCGCGCGTCACCCCCCGTCACCCGTCGTGGCCGGCGCGCGGGCCCGTACAGGCTGCCCGCGGCCCGTACGGGCTGCGCCACGCCCGGACGCGGCTCGTACGGGCTGCGCCAGGCCCGCGCGCGACCCGTATGGGCTGCGCCAGGCCTGCGCGCGGCCCGTACGGGCTGCGCCAGGCCCGCGCGCGGCTCGGGCCGCCTGCGCGCGGTTTGGGCGGCTGTGCCAGTCCCGTGGGCAGCCCGTTCTTCGCTGCCCCTGTGCTGCCCGCTGTCCCCCGTGCTTCTGATGGCGCCCCACCCCTGCTGCTGCCCGTTCTCCTGAATTAGGGTTTGGGGGTGGGGGGTATGGGGGTGCAGGTTCTGTGTGCCGTCCCCTGCTCCTCCTCCTCCTCCGTCTCCCAGTGCTACAGCTGCCGCTGAGGGGGTTGGACCTGTTGGAGCCGTCGGAGTGGTACTAAGGGGGGTGAAGGGGGAGTGGAGCTAGGGGTGAAGCAGGGGGTGTGTGTCAGGAGGAGTGGGACTGTTTGGGGAGGTTGAACGGAGGTTGCCGTCATGTCGCCAGCAGCACCTGTAGTCCAGGGAGTTGCTCTGGTAGCCCAGTCGCAGCCAGCTGTGCCAGTCGCCCGTGGGTCTGTTGCTCGTCTGCCGCTACTTTTAGTCGCGGGGCCAGTTACTCCAGTAGTCCGGAGCGTTGTTCCGGTAGCCGCTGTGCCAGTGTGACTCCTGTTGCCTGTGTGTCTGCAGCTTCAGCCGTCGCCTCCTATCTCCTCTCCTCTCACAGTCCCTCCTCCTCCTCACCTGCCCGTTGTGACTACCACTAGCTTTACTCATAATTGTGAACTTTAAACTGTTGCTTCTTGTACTTGTGCTCAGAATGTGTGGTGATATTGTGATCCACCCTGAGCTTGTTCTGCTTTGCTTGCTCTGCTGATTACACCCCACTTTGGCAATGGGGGTGTGTCAGAATGTCATTGTTCTCTAGCCTGCAGTGGGGTACTCTATAGCGAGTACAACCCCTTAGGGTTTCCTATATGTATCCTGCTGCTTTCTAGTGAACCCCCCTCTTCCTTCATTCTAAACTTTCCACTACGATTTCACAGGTACTATCGACAAGTTCAAGGCGCGCTGGGTCGTACGTGGCTTCGACCAAGAACACGGACGCGACTTCACTGAAACGTTCGCGCCGGTCAGCCGACACACTTCACTGCGAATTCTCCTCGCGATCGCCGCCATGAAGAAGAAAAAGCTACGGCAAATCGACGTCGCCAACGCCTTTCTTTACGCACCTGTCGACGCAGAGATCTTCGTCGAACTACCGCACGGCTCAAACGGAGAACCCAACCAAGTCTGTCAGCTGCTGAAGTCCCTGTATGGCATCAAACATGCACCGAGACTGTGGCAGCAGTACCTGCATGCTAGACTTATTCACATTGGATTCTACCAGCTACCGCACGACCAGGGCATGTACCGACTCACAAAGGGCAACGACTACATTCTAATCATCGTCTACGTAGACGACCTGATATACATTGGTTCGACTGACGGCGTCACTACCTAGTTCGAAGGGGAGCTGCAGCAAGATCTCACGCTCACGGTCTCGTCCACCGTCACGCAGTATCTTGGCCTCAATATTCAAGAAGAAGAAGACGCAATCTACCTCAGCGCCGTGAAATATGCCGACACTATCGCTACACGCTTCGGACTCACCCCGATCACCATCTTCACGCCATACCGCTACACCGCAGGAAAACACAAGGAAGGCTCCGCTGCACTCAAGCCCGCCGGCATACGCGACTACCAGAGAAAGCTGGGATGCCTCCTCTTCGCGGCTGTCACCTGCCGTCCGGATCTATCATACTCTGCGAGTCAACTCACCACCTACCTCAAAAGGCCCGAAGCAAAACACATGGCAGAGCTCGACCACGCTCTTCACTACCTCGTTAGCACTCCGACGATCGGCCTGACCTATCACAAGAACGGAACCTCGACACCTAAGTTAATCGGCTACGTCGACGCCGATCACGCCATCGACTCTGACAATAGACGCTCACGCACCGGCTACATGTATCGCTTCGAACCTATCGGACCCATTTCGTGGCAGTCGAGCAAGCAGGAGTTAGTCGCCCTCTCCTCAGCTGAAGCAGAATATATCGCACTCTGCTCAGCCACCAAAGAAGGACTGTACCTTCACGAACTCCTGGAGGAAGCGAAGCTGGCTCAGTTACCCAGCTTCTCCCTGTTCTGCGACAACCAGTCAGCAATTCGCATAGCCAATAAAAATGGATTCGCGAATAGGACGAAGCACATCGCCCTGCGATATTTCTTCGTAAAAGACAAGATCGAGAAAGGTAGACTCGAACTGTCCTACTGCCCCACATCCGAGATGGCAGCTGACTACTTGACCAAGAAGCTTTGAAAGCAGAAGTTCGAGTACTGCATGCTGCTGACCGGACAAAGCCACGTCACCAGCAGCGACACTCCAGAAGCGAAGGGGAGTGTTGGAAACAAGTAATTTAAGTGCATGTCAGAACTTATATTTGAAACTGCCTGTAGCTGTAGCTACTGTAGTTATTATAAACTTAGTTTGATGGTGCACCTTCTTTGTTTCCTGTGCTATATGTTCCTTGAAACCTATAGTGAAATCATTCTTCCCAATTCTCTCGATCCTCACCCTTCGCACAAAACTACTCGATATCCTAGTTGGGCCTAGGCTCCTAAGCCTAGGCCCTAGTAAAACTTAGTTCATTCTTAGCTCATTTCGATATGCTATCAGAGCAAGTTACGTCCTGGCCTGTGCGCCCGCCTCATGTTTCCGCTGCTACCTTTTTCCGGTCGCGCGCCTAGGGCGCATGGCGATTTTCTCTTGTCCCCCCCCCGGTTGGCGTGTGACTCCTTCTCTGCCCGTCGCGCGCCCCGTGGCACGCGACGGTGCCCTAAACCTGCGCGTCGTGCGCCCCGTGGCACGCGACGGTGCCCTGCTCGTCGTGCGCCCCGAGGCACACGACCGGGCCCTAAACTTAAACTTACCCGTCGTGCGCCCCGTGGCACGCGACGGGCCTCTCCGCACCTGCTATCCCTGCAGCCGCCCCTGACCTATCTGCGTCGACACAATTTCGCCGCTCTGCGGCTTTCTTCCCGCCCACCCCCTCCTCCTTTGTCTCCCTGCAGCCGTGGGGAGGAGGGTATGGGGGTGGCGGGTGTTGGAGTGTTGGGTCGTCTCCTTCCCTTCCCCTCCTCCTCCTTTCGTTCCCACTGCTGCAGCTGCCGCTGGGAGGGAGGGTGTGAGGGTGTGGGGGAGCAGGGGGAGTGGCACCGGGGTGGCGGGTGTGAGGCAACCAGCAGCCGTCCCTCCACCTCTCCTCTCTTCCCCCCTTCTCTGCTGCTCCTGCAGCAGTGTGGGGAAGAAGGAGGGTGAGGAGATGGAGGGGGTGACCGGCTAGTGTCAGCCCGCCTGCAGTTCCTTCTGTTGCTTGTTTATTATTTTGCATGTGTACACCTGCAAGTTGTATTCTGCACAAACTCCTGCTGCAGGCAGTTATGGGGGAGTGTCAGAACTTATATTTGTAACTGCCTGTAGCTGTAGTTAGTGTAGTTATTATAAACTTAGTTTGGTGGTGCACCTTCTTTGTTTCCTATGCTATATGTTCCTTGAAACCTATAGTGAAATCATTCTTCCCAATTCTCTCGATCCTCACCCTTGGCACAAAACTACTCGATATCCTAGTTGGGCCTAGGCTCCTAAGCCTAGGCCCTAGTAAAACTTAGTTCATTCTTAGCTCATTTCGATACATCTGTCGTGTCGAAACACTAAGCCATAAATGAAGCGAAACACAGCGAAGCATCAGCGAGTCAATCCTCGGAGGTTGAACAACTGCTGAGAGGTTACGCGAAAGTCAAAGATCAGCGACCTTTGACCTGACAAGTACAGCGCGGCAGCAAGGACAAACAACTGACTCTTTATTGAGCAGTTGCCCGAGTCGTCACTGTATCGAACCGCAACAGTAATAGAAAAACAGCTATTAGCTATAACCCTTCACATTCCCTTGTACTCTTATAAAAGCTTATATCTCTTTGCTTTAATCAATCTACTTTGCCCTCACATACCAGCGCAAGGTGGTTCACAGACTCATTATTAAACGCTTCCGCTATTACATTGTTTCTACTTAGAGTTTAGTCCTGCAAAGATCCTAAGGGCTTTTTCTCAGCCCAATAGAACTAACCTACTCGTGATACCATCTCAAAGTAGGAATGCAACGGAATGATGAGATTAGGAATGTGGGTGATACAAATTGCAAACCTTAACTGAGTTGTACTCACTAAGGAGCACCTCACTACAGCCTATCACAAATATCAATATTTGACATCGAGACCTTTGTTGATTACGAGTGGCATATTTTCCCATACCAAAATGTAGTGCACCAACTGTAGTGTACCATATGCGTATACACTAGCACAACCTTTATAACGTGTAATGTACCTGTGAGACTGCATTGCTTGTTCAAGAGCATTTAACAAGTTGAAAGCCTGCACAACTAGTCAGGAACATGTGCTGTAGGTTCAGTTCACATGATTGTATAGTGCTTAGTTAATTCACTTCAATTTATATACACACAATAGCATGGCATGGCATACCATACAGAGTAAGAGAGTGGGTCAGCCGACTTGCTAACTTTAGGGAAAGGGGAGACAAGTGGCATGGGACACAATTCACAGCAAGCTAATGGGTCAGGCTCAGCTGCCTCGGTAGGTGGAGTAGGAGAATGGGGAGAGCAGCAGCGGCGCGTGAAAATGCTCCCTCTCTTGCTCTGGCAGCACTTGGAACACTATAGACACACTCGGGAAGAACCCACCACCATTGCCACTGCTAACTTGGCGGATGTAGGATGTAGGAAATTCAGGGCGGGATGAGGAAGAACACAAGGTTGGGTCTGGAATGAGTGAAGTGAAGGTTTGCTCAAGCGGTTGCTACATTCATTGGAATGCCAGCAGCATGTTTGCACAGAGCTACGTCCAGCACGTGTGTGGGGGTGGACAGAGAGTTGATGCTTGTCGCGATGTGTAACGTACTACTACCACACGCACACCTGGGCTGATGTGTGTTGTGACTCTAACCAAACGGTAAGTTGCAGGAAAGTAGTGGACAAATAGTCCAGCGATTTTTTTTACGGTTTTTTTTTTTTTTTTTTTTTCAATCGATTGATCCAAACATGTGTCTCAACCATCAAAGGAAACACAGAAGCATGCACACACCTGGGGAGATGTGTGCTGCAACTCTAGCCAGACTGTAGGTTGCAGGGGAGGAGACAGGGCGAAGGAAGGTATATCCACACGGAGAATGCATGGTCGGGAGAGGTAGGGAAAGAGAGGAGCGGAGAAGACTTTACTAAGAAAATAGCAGTGAGTTGGGGTATAAGGTAATCTTATAGAGGGTGATGGGGTTGGAAAGTACATAGGTAGGACAGCACTAAACGAAGTACAAGGTTACAGAACTACACCTGTGGAATTATCGCCATTGGTGGGGGCGTCCAGCAGCAGCTTCTTCAACCTCAGCTGGGTGAAATTCTCTTGCTCCTTTCGCTGCCAGCTGCACCTCGTAGATTAGCTGATTTTCCAATCGCTCCTGTTACAGGAAAAACATTCCGGGTATTAGTTTGCTGAAGTTTGCTGAAAAAAAAAAAGGAGCAAGAATCGCACTCAGACACTTTCAAGTGTAAGCACGCTACGAGTCAATCACCTTTAGAGCAGAGAGTATCTCTACTGGAGGCTTTCCCTGAGCACAAATGATAAAGATGTGCCCAAAGCGCTGCTCATATCGGCGATTGCACTCTGCCATCTCCTGACATGGGGCAGCAGAAAGGCAGGCAGGTGGACGGCCAGGCACACGGACATATATATATATATGTATATATATATTTACAAATATTTACAAGGGAATTATGCGTGCGGCACAGATTATGTGACTCAAGTGAAGCACGCCTTACAATGCTTACTTTGGTGTGAAATGAGGCTGCTTGCATGGAGACAACAAGAAAAAAACAAACTAAACTCTAGGCTGGAACAAAATGTGCTTGCCTGAAAGGATGAGTTGCCAAAATCCTGGAAGGGAATTGTGCTTGGCGCACATCCAAACTGCCTTAGGCGAATCACACTTCCAAACACTTTCTTTGCTCCGGATTCTATAAGTTAATGAATTGTGAAAGCTTGCTTATTGCAACTTGTAATAGGCATCGTGCTTCTTTTCATCTGGGTAAGAGTACATCAATCTCGTCCAAAGGTCTACAACATACAATTTCACTACATAGGGTGGGAGGGTGGGGAACTCAAACTAAAAATCTGAAAAGAAGAACGTGGGTGAGGCCAAATGGCCTCCAACACCTCTTTTGTAGCCAAAAGAGGGCGAGTAGCGATGCGACGCTGCCTTTGCTGCGTTGGCGATCGCTTCACTATCACAATACAAAATTTTAGAAAGTGAATACACTTTCAAAAATTATAATATTGTGAAAGCTTGCTTATTGCAACTTGTAATAGGCATCGTGCTTCATTTCATCTGGGTCTGCTGATGACAAAGTTTGAAGGAAGAAAGAGGATTGAACTAGCAGAAATGGGGATACAAATAGCAAACCCTAGAAGGGTTGTACTCGCTATAGAGCACCCCACTACAGGCTAGAACAATAACATAATATTCTGACACACCCCCATAGCCAAAGTGGGGTGTAATCAGCAGAGCAGGCAAAGTAGTACAAGCTCAGGGTGGATCACAATGTCACCACACATTCTGAGCACAAGTTCAAGAAGAGATAGTTTAGAGTTCACAATTATGAGCAGAGCTAGTGGTAGTCACAACGGGCAAGTGAGGAGGAGGAGAGAGATTGAGGGGAGAGGAGATAGGAGGCGACGGCTGAAGCTGCAGGCACATGGGCAACAGGAGGCACACTGGCACAGCGGCTACCGGAACAGCGCTCCGGACTACTGGAGTAACTGGCCCCGCGGCTCAAGTAGCGGCAGACGGGCAACGGACCCACGGGCGGCTGGCACGGCTGGCTACGACTGGGCTACCGGGACAGCGCCCCGGACTACAGGTGCTGCGAACGACAAACTGACAACCTCCACTCAACCTCCCGCACACAGTCCCACCCCCCTGATGCACACCCACTGCTACACCGCTAGCTGCACTCCCACGCACCCCCCTTAAACCCTAAACCCGAGTCTCCCACACAACCACCCCCCTCAGCGACAGCTGCAGCAGTGGGAGACGAAGGAGGAGGAGGAGCAAAGGGAGGAAAGTACACCGGCCACCCCCATACCCGCCACCCCACAGCTCGCCCCTCCCGTCGTCCGTCGAGGCGACCTGAGGGGGCCGCTTGCGGCGAGGGCGGGGCCGCGACGGTCGGGCAGGGCCGCTTCGAGGGGCGGGGCCGCGACACAGGGCGGGGCCGCGACGTAGGGCGGGGCCGCGACGGTCGGGGCGGGGCCGCGACGTAGGGCAGGGCCGCGTCGAGGGGCGGGGCCGTGACGCAGGGCGGAGCCGCGACGAGGGCGGGGCCGCGACGGTCGGGGCGGGGCCGCGACGGTCGGGGCGGGGCCGGGAAGGAAAACCGCCGCGCGCCTCGGGGCACACGGCGGGAAGTAAAACCGCCGTGCGCAGGTTGCAGCGGAAGCGAGGTGGAAACCCACCCGCAGGATCGATCCAAGGGGATCGACCTGCTCTGATAGCATGACAAAGTTTGAAGGAAGAAAGAGGATTGAACTAGCAGAAATGGGGATACAAATAGCAAACCCTAGAAGGGTTGTACTCGCTATAGACCACCCCACTACAGGCTAGAACAATAACATAATATTCTGACAGCTGAGACATGTGCAGAGGAGGACGGCACTGTCGCTGGATAGACAGGTGATGCTGGTTGGAGGATGGGGCTCGTGTGGGGTCCTGTATCAGCCGGGATGTGCAACGAGCTGGTCTTGAGCGATAGTGACGTAGAGCTCCTTCGCGGTGTCGATGCGCCAGCTGAGAAGAAACGAGAATGAATGAACTATGAAAGAGTTGGGTACAAGTACTAACCGTAATTGGGTTGTACCCCTTATGGGCTACCCCACTATAGCCTACACAAAATGCATAAGCTATGATGTTCTGACACACCCCCATAGGCAAAGTGGGGAAGAACAAGGGGTCTGAAGACCAGTCAAGCAAAGCAAAGCAAGCTCAGGGTGGATAACAAAGTCACCACACATTCCGAGCACAAGTTCAAGGCCACAAGGCCAGTTCACATGCAGGAGTACATATATATATAAAAGGCTAGACAAGCAAGAGCAGGTGTATATATATATGTAATAGTACAAACAAGGTCAAGAGGTAAGCAAGTGAGGCAAGGCAGGCACAAGACCCAGCTGAGTACAGAAGCGCTGATGATCACAAGGCGCAAGCATCTTGGTGAAGACATCAGCAGCGTTGGCCTCAGAGGCCACGTACGCAAGACGCAGCTGACCACGCTGCTGCAGCTCACGAGCAAGAAAGTAGCGGAGAGCAATGTGCTTCGTTCTGTGCTCCAGTCGCTGCTCCCGACACAAGGCCAGCATGGCCTTGTTGTCTATGTACAGCACTGGAGGAGAACGAGGCGGCTCTCCGAGGTCAGTCAGCAGGTAGGTGAGCCAGCGAAGCTTCTGAGCAGCCATGGTTCCTACGTAGATCTCAGCCTCACAACTGGAGCCGAGAACAGAAGACGAGCGAGTAGCCCGCCACGAAACAGAGCCGGAACCAAGGCTGAAGGTCTAACCCTGTGACGACCGCTGCGTAGCCTGGTCGTCAGCCCAAGAAGCGTCTGCGTGCCCAGTGAGGACCACTGGACTCTGCCCTCCAAGCACAAGCCCCATGCCCGACGTACTGCACAAGTAGCGCAACACCCTCTTCGCTGCAGCCATGTGCTTTGGTCTGTGTCTCCCAGGAGCAACATAGCGTGCGAGAATGCTAAGAGGGTATGCAAGGTCAGGTCGTGTGCAGGTCATCAAGTACATGAGGCAGCCAACAAGCTCTGGATTAGGGCCACTCGACTCTACAGACTCATCCGAAGGCAGAGCTGAGAGCGAGTGGCGAGTAGGCAGAGGAGTGGCCTGAGGCGAGGAGTGGCCTGAGGCGAGGAGTACGTGAAGCCGAAGCGCTGAAGGACCTGCTGCACCATGTGTGACTGAGTCAGGGTAATGGTGCGGCGTGCTCTGTCCCGGGTGATCTGCAAGCCAAGGTAGCTGCGCAGTTCACCCAGGTCTGTGCACGTGTGTCTCTTCTGCCGCTCGGACTTCACGTGGGCGAGTCCAGCAGTGTCAGCAGTGGCAAAGACCAAGTCGTCGACGTACACGAGGATGTAGAACGGCGGTAGAGAAGTGTAGGTGCGCAGAAACAGCGACGGGTCGGCAGTAGAGGGAGCAAACCCAAGAGCCGTAAGTGTAGTCCTCAGTGTGTCGTGCCACTCACACGGTGCCTGGCGGAGACCGTAGACTGGCCGCCGGAGGCTCCACTGGGTGCCAGGAGCCAGGTGGGCGGCGCAGCCAGATCTCCTCGTGCAGGCTGCCACGCAGGAAAGCAGTGCTGAAGTCAAGAGAGTGTAGCTCGTAGTCACGGTGAGCAGCTACGTGCAGCAGTACTCGAAGAGTGGTCATCTTCGGGGTGGGAGAGAAGGTCTGAAAGTAGTCAACTCCCTCTCGCTGACTGAAGCCACGAGCTACGTAACGCGCCTTGAAGACAGGCGGAGAACCCGGCGGCCGCTCCACATGCCACTGACGATGTTCGCCCCAGGCAGGGGAACCTCGTCAACGTAGGTGCCTGTCGACATCCAGGAAGCCATCTCTGCGTCCATAGCTGCCTGCCACTGAGAGGAGTAGGGACCCTCTATCGCCTTCGCGTAAGAGCGCGGAGTCGGGATGTCAAGTGCATCCGGGTCTCCCTTGCTCAGCACCCCGAGGCTCAGCACCGCCAGTCACAGTACCCCCAGTGTCAGCACCCCCAGGCTCAGCACCCTCAGCAGCACCAGAGTCACCAGTAACCTCGACAGGCTCGACTCCGTCTACCTGGGACACACCTGAAGGGGCTGGACCCTGAGGGGGGAGGGGGTCTACCGGGGGGGGACCTGGTACAAGGAAGAGCGGTGGCGGGGGGAGGGACGGAGTGCGGTAGGGGAAGAGGCGGTAGTAGGGGACCGACTCGTCAAACGTGACGTCCTGGGAGGACAGAACACGGCGAGAGGTGGGGTGGTAGAACTGCCACCCTCGCGCGTAAGGGGGGAAGCCGAGGAAGACGCAAGGAGCAGCACGAGGGGACAGCTTATCCGCATAGAAGTCGCGGACAAACGCCCGAGATCCCCAGACACGGAACGCAGACGCATCGCCAACCTTCCCCGTCCATAGCAAAGCTGGGGAGGTCTCCGGCATTGAGACCTTGGGGTGAAGGTTGATCTGATGCGCCGCGTACCGAACCGCAAACGGCCACAGAAAATGGGGGGCAGCCGCATGCATCATGGACGTACGGGCGACGTCCATGACCATGCCAATGCGGCGCTCAGCAATCCCATTTTGCTGTGGAGAGTCCGGAGGCGTGAAGGTCTGGCGGATGCCTCGTGCACGACAGTAGGCTCGCAGAAGGCCAGAGGAGAACTCTCCGCCTCTGTCCGAGTGCAGACGTAGAACAGGAAAGTCCGAGCCGAAGCTCTGCCTAAGCTGGAGATGAGCTTCGCGGATCCAGTGGATTAGCACCTCAGTGACATCACCCTTGCTGCGCAAGGGGAAGACTGTGGTGTAACGCGAGTAGTCGTCAACCACCAGCTGGAAGTAGCGCTCGTAACCTTGTCCACGGACGCGGGCCGGGCCCCACACGTCCATGTGAAGCGTCTGCAGCGGGGCCTCTGTCGGAGGAAACTGGGAGGAGTGAGGGGAAGCCTGCTGCCGCCCCTGGACACAGGGGACGCAGGTAGGGCCAGGCCCCAGAGGAAGGGGAGGGAGGGACCAGGGAAGACCAGAGACAACGACACGGGAGGCCATGCCTCGGAGTCGAAGCAGGGAGGGGTGACCAAGGCGGTGGTGCAAGAGGAGAGTCTCGTGAGACAGGAGGCGACACGAGCAGGGGGCAGACTCAGGACCAGACCTGGACGCTGCAGCAAACACCTGACCTGACGCAGCTACCAGACCAGACGCAGGGACAGGGGGAGACGCAGTGGTCTGTGTGTACAGGCTCGACCCCGGCCGACGTGTAAACGTGGCCAAGTGTCGGCCCGTCCGAGCGTCCGTGCAGTGGGTCACCCGCTGGCTCGCAGGAGTGAACTGGTGAACTCCCCCATCCTGTAGGTCAGCACCACTCACCAAGTTCGTAGAGAACGAGGGGAGGTAAAGACCAGACAGGGTGCCCGAGGGAGCCGCCGGACACAGGAGGACAGTTGAGAAATGAGCAAGGACAGGACCCCCAGAGGGGTCTGCCAGAGAGACTGCAACTGGCCGACCAAGCGGCGTGAGTGTGGTGCGGTCTCGAAAGAAGGAGCGAGAAGCCCCCGAGTCAAGGGTGAAGGTGAGGGAGGCCGAAGCCGACGCGGTACTTGAGAGCGCAGGCTGACCAGCACCTGAGGAAGCAGACGCACTAGCACCTAGAGCAGCAGCCTCGCTAGCACCTAGAGCAGTAGCCTCACCAGTACCTTGAGCAGCAGTCTCAATGCCCGGGTCGGGCGGAAAACACCGGTAGTAGTCACCTTCATCACTACTAGTCACAGCATACATGGCAGCAAGAATAGCATCAAAGTCAAGGTCAAAGATAGCTACTCCCGCCCTAGACAGCTCACCCCAACAAGGGATCTCAGTGGCCTCCGGGAACTGGTGACGCCAAAGCAGCGCTGGGTGGAGTGCGCACCCCCACACTGCTCACCCGCGCGGTCGCGGGTGCGTAGGACGTAGGTGCACGGACCAGTACCCCCACCCCGCTGGCGTGCAGCGTACCACTCACGGAGCTGCTGAGGGGGGTGGATGTCACGAGTGCGCTGTTGCTGCTGCTTGCGCTGACCACCACCGGAGCTGACCCTCTGCGCAGCGCCACCCCGACCAGCTCCACCTCCTCCGCCACCGCCTCCTCCACCGCCACCACCTCCTCCACCTCCGCTCCCATCGCCACCGCCGCCGCCGCCACCGCCTCCACCGCCGCCACTGACACCTCCACCCCCGCCACCACCCCCACTGCCACCCCCACTCCCTCCGCCGCCTCCACCACCGCCTCCACCGCCCCTGCTAGATCCTCCTGCGCCCCTGCCCCCCTTGCCCTTGCCAGGGCGGCGCTTCCTGCTAGGGGTAGACGCCGCACCGACCGACTCCAGACCAACGAGGTCGGCCGCAGCAACAGAGGCAACAGAGGGCAAAAGAGGGGAGGGGGAACACCCCTCAAAGATGGGGGTGCGAGGGTCACCACGAGAGGCTCCTACAGCGACTATGCTCTTCTCTGCTGCTAGGAGGGCCTTCTCGAGGAGGTCAACGGTGAGAGTGGTGGGGTAAACTGAGAGGAAGTGGTCCCTGATTACGCGAAGGGAGTCAGGGAGACGGGTGACTATGTAGTAGAGTGTGATGTACATGGGGGGGGAGGGTTCTTGGCGCAGAACTCAGCAGGAAGCGCAGCGCGGTATCGAGTGTCACTAGTGCGGAGGTGCGTAATGAGGTCAGCGACTGTGGGAAAGGCAGCAAGGTCAGGGAAGAGGTACGGTAGCATGAGGCGTCTCAGTGCAGCAGTGGCAGGGGAGGAGTAGCGTGCAACTACAGCGCTGTACAAGGTCTGAGCACTCTTGAACTGACTAAAGTGCGCACGCTCAGTGGTAGGCAGGTGGCGACGCACAGCAAGACGTGCAGCAGCATCGCGTGTGGCCCACTGTGAGCGAACAATGGCGTCAGCATCAGCAGCGGGGGCAGGAGAGGCACCAGAAGTGAGGTCAAAGAGGGAGAGACCGTCTGCCCTATCGCACTGTAAGAAAAGTTGCAGGTCATCTATCCAGACGTCAAAGTCAATGGCCCTACCCTCAGCGTCAAAAGCGAGGACACTAGGGGTAGCCATGACAGCAGTAGACTAGCAGTGCGAACAGTAGGGTAAGGGCAGTGGAGTGTCAGAAGCACTGCTCTTACCAGACAGGGCGGCTCGGCGGTGCGGGCGGGTCGGCTGCAGGTCGGCTCGGCGGCTCGGCTGATCGGCTGCTGGGCGGCTCGGCGGCTCGGCTGCTCAGCTGCTGGGCGGCTCGGTGGCTCGGCTGCTGGGCGGCTCGGCGGCTCGGCGGCTCGGCGGCTCGGCTGCTGAGCGGCTCGGCGGCTCGGCGGCTCGGCTGCTCGGCTGCTGGGCGGCTCGGCGGCTCGGCTGCTGGGCGGCTTGGCGGCTCGGCGGCTGGGCTGCTGGGCGGCTCGACGGCGGCGGCTCCTGCCTTAGGGGCGACGGCGGCTGGCCGCTAGGGGCCGCGAAGGGCGGCGGAGGGGCGGCGGGGGGGCCGTGAGGAGGCCGCGGAAGGCGGCTCGAGAGGCCGCGAAGGGCGGCGGGCCCAGGTGAGGCAGCGTCGTGGCCGGGAAGTGCGGCGCCGTGGCCGCAGGTGTAGGCGACGGGGTCAGCCGAGGTGGCGCCGGGGCCGGGAAGGGCAGCGCCGGGGCCGCAGAAGTAGGCAGCGGGGCCGCTAGGGCGGCACCGGGGCCGCAGGAGTAGTCGGCGGGGCCGCTAGGGCGGTGCAAGGGGCCGCAAGGGCGGCGAGAGGGGCTGCAAGGGCGGCGCACGGTGGGCCGACGGGTGGGTCGAAGGGCCGCAAGGGCGGCGCGCGGAGCCGACGGGCGGCGCAAGGGGCCGCTAGGGCGGCGCGCGGGGTCGACGGGCGACGCGAGGGGCTGACGGGCGGTGCGAGGGGCCGGAAGGGCGGCTCAAGGGGCCGTGAGAGGAGCCGCTAAGGGCGGCGCGATGGTAGGGAGGGCACGTGGGGCGCGCGCGTCTCGGTCTATGGCGAAGCGCTCCCCGGGCAGGAAATATATATATATATCGTGGTGGGCCCTAGGTAGCGTTCCCACTAGGGAACCTGCTCGATACCATGAGAAGAAACGAGAATGAATGAACTATGAAAGAGTTGGGTACAAGTACTAACCCTTATTGGGTTGTACCCCTTATGGGCTACCCCACTATAGCCTACACAAAATGTATAAGCTATGATGTTCTGACACCAGCGGCCTAAACGTTTGAACATTCGATCCGTGATCCCGACTCCGGCAGCTGTCGTTGCTGCACCTTTGAGAAATGAGTGGGTGCCCAAGTGCTTTGCGTCGAGCCCGATCTTGCGGAAGGCTTCCAAACACCAGTTCCGAAGAGTGGGGTATGAGGGAGATTTGTCTTGTGGTGTTGCCTTTGCGCCACGTGGGAAAACTCGGATGAGAGGGCCTTCGGTTGATGAGTCATAACCGGCAATCTTGATGAATTTCTGGGTGGTTTGGACTGGGCAGTATGGCCCATCTATTGCCGCGACTGGGACCCACACTCCTTTGCTCTCCTGGTCAGTTTTGGAGTGTGGGATTAGAACCCACATTGTCGTATCCTCGAATTGAATGTCCTGCCACTGAATCACGACCAGGTCGGAGTAGCGTAGGAACCCAGTGTACATCAAGAGCGGAATGAGACCTTTCTGAAATTCGGATGGGATGTGAGATGTGAGAAACTCTTGAGCCATGCTATGGACCTGGTGAAGCGAGACTGAATCTTTGGTCCGGTTAGGGCGCGGTGCGTGGCGCTTGGCGATCTCGCGTACTTGCGATGTGAAGGGGCCGTCGGTGGGACACGCCGTCCCAATCATTTTGTGTGCGAAGGATACCGCGGAGCATGTTAGTGTGATCGCAGATAGCGTGGCTTTGTGCTTGAGGGCGTGCACGAGGTACAGCGCGAGTGTCAGGTCCGTGGTAGGCAGGTAGCTCAGCGAAACCTTCTTGCAGAAGGCTCGGAACTTGAGCCAGTAAGGTTCATAGGTCTGGATGGTGGAGGGTGCCCTCACTTGGCTGATGACCGCAAAGAGTTGCTTTTGGAGGTTGTTTAATAGTTCTGCCATCAATAAGAGCATGCAATTACATTGAGAAATTTATAGCCAATGCAAGGATGGGACTATTTGGAAATCCAGCGCCTGAGAACGAAGATGTGTGTGTGCCTGGGTGAAGGCATTGACTACCGCTTGCAAGTGCTAGGTGGCTGGTGATCCCCTTGGCCCATGTCTGGGGGGATGGCTGCACAAGGGGCCACCAAGCAGCCCCTGTCCATTGTGGAATCACAAGAGTGGTCTTTGCGTGGGTGCGTTGCGCGTGCCGAAGGGTTGCTGGGATGAGGTGGGGGGGTGGGAACGCGAAACCGTGCTCTCCCCTCCAATCCGTCGAGAATGCGTTGACCGCTTCAGCCTTGGGATGGGGCACCTTCGAGCAAAAGCGAGGTAACAACGCGTTGCGAGCGGTTGCGAATAGGTCGATAGAGTGGGGCCCCCAATGACGTTCAAGGAGGTGAAACCACGGTTGTGGGTGTTGGATGTGGGTGGCAAGTGTGAGGGCATGCTTGCGCTTGCTGTGCTCCTCTCTCCGCGGAACGTGACGAGTGTGGCGCCCCAACTGTGTGCGCTAGCATCCACCTGGATGACCGCATCGTAATGGTGCGGTTGATGGAACGGGGCACCATTGAACTTGTCGAATTGCTCCATCCAGAAGCCCAGTTCGTCAATTGCCTCTGATGATAGCGATATCTGGGAGTTCCATGATGGTGCGGTGTTGATGGTTTGGAGCAGCTCGTGGCTGAAGGCTCGTGCAGTTGCTCCCAGAGCGAGGCTCATTGATGCGAGCATGCCGGTGACTCAGGCGACGTGGCGGATGTGTACTTGGCGACCTCTACGCCCCTCGGTAATGAGCGTCGCCATTGTGGATTTTAGTTGAGATTGATGTTCGTCTCCCACCGAGAATGTGCAGCTTCGAGTGTCCAGCTCGAGGCCAAGGAAGCAGAGTGCTTGGGTGGGGAGCAGCTGGGACTTCTTCTTGTTGATCACTAGACCGGAGTCCTTTAGGTCTTGCACGATCATGGTGCATGTCGATTGGGCTTGTTGGGCTGACTCGGATAGCACTAAGATGTCGTCGACATATGGGATCACTCGCCATCCACGTGCACGCCATCGTCGAGCGAGCTGCTTGATAAGTTGGGTAAAGACGAACGGGGTCGTGGCCAACCCGAATGGTAAGGAGCGGAAGTAGTAATAGTCCGTTTTTCTGGAAGCCAAGGTATCGCCAGCCAGTTGGGTCTATGTCCACATGGTGATACCCCGATTTGAGGTCGACGGAGAACATCCAATTGTTCGGCTTGATCAACTCTGCCACGTGAAGCAGTCCTTCGTATTTGAAGTTGGGCACGCGCAGGTGCTCGTTGACCTTCCGAAGATCCAGTATGAGGCAACAGTTTTCGCGTTGCTCGACCACGTTGAGCGGGCTAACACATGAAAGTGCGGCTCGGTTGGGTGCCTCTGCAGCGGCACCCGTGCGAAGGAGGTCCTGGACTGCGATTCGGGTGAAATCACCATGTGCTTGTGTGCCGGCGTGGTTTTTCGATTCAAAGGGCGTGGGGGGCTCGTTCTTCCATGGGAACCAGTACCCACGTGCGATGATGGATAAGATGAAGCTGCTATCGCACGATGAGCACCACCAGTGGAGTGCGATAGTCGGCCGGCTCAGTCGACTGGTGCAGTCGGCCTTGCATTACGAATATAGTTGTGTCTGTCACCACCAATGGAGTGCGATAGTCGATAGGCTCATGGTGCTTGGCGCAGTCGGCCTTGCATTACGAATATAGTTGTGTCTGTCACCGCGAACTCGTATGGGTCGGTTGCCCTCATTACCCATTTGTTGCTCTCGGCTGCGTACCAAACAATGCATGCAGGAGACGGCGTTAGTGTGCTAATCAGTAAGGAGCGATCATGGTCCTACGTACCATATGCTACGAGTGGTGTGCGGAAGCTTTAGGGTGGGGCCCACAGGTCAGGACCTTGTCGCTCTGATACCATGTGAATAGTTCTAGGACTTAGGAGGCATGGAAACCTTAGGTGATAGGAGGGAGGTTGAGTTTAGTTCGAGTGAGTTTAGGAAAGTCGAGAGGAATGAGTTTCACTAAAGAGAATGGTAAGTACAAATAGGTAAACAGCAACACAAGGAGGTGCACCACCAAACATGATGCAATAACTACACTACAACTGCAAACAATTATATAAAATATGTAAACATATTTTGACAGAGCACACTGAGCGCGACTCGAGCTGAGTGGAGCGCGCTCCGGGCAGGAAAAAAAAATCGTAGTGGTGGGCCCTAGGAATCGTTCCCGTTAGGGAACCTGCTCTGATACCATGAGAAGAATCAAGGAATGGATGAACTATGAATGAATTGGGTACAAGTACAAACCCTAATTGGGTTGTACCCCTTATGGGCTACCCCACTATAGCCTACACAATATGCATAAGCTATAATGTTCTGACAGGACCTTGAAACTGCACCAGAGAACAAAGGTAGGGGTGGGGTTAGGAATCATACACAAGTTTGTTCGTTGGCGCAGAAGTCATTTTGTGATCTAAACTCACTTGGCATATCTGTCCAGCGACAGCTCGTTGATGACACTCCACACGCCAGTCGGCAGAGATACTGCAAATTGGAGTTCATCGCGCCACCTTTCAATATCTGTGGCGGGGATCCCGTAAGATGACAAGTTGCAATCCGGGAAGTACGCTAGCCAGCAGACACAGACGGTGAAGTTTCTACTCCACGCCTCCTTATGTGACCCCATGTTCCGCTTCTTGCCCCCTAGCGTCTGCTCAGATGTGTACCGCATCTTCTCAGGATCGTTTTTGTTTCTCTCGAACAATCCCGGCGCCTTGAACGGCCGATGCACTCCAGGTCTCTTCCCCTCGTCGTCCGCCTCAGGAATTGGCTGCTCGTGTGAATCATCGTCGGCTCGCTCTACATCTGCGTCGCCCACTTGCAGAACCTGTAGAACACCGGACCCAAGGGCGGGTAAATCGACCGCACCCCGCGTTGCATCTACTAGATGCACACCCGCATCCCCTGGCTCTGAATTGTTGGCAGAGCATAGCCTTTTCGCTGCAGGCCTTTCAGCGTCACACTCCGATTGTACGCGTTGACGTCTCCGGTCACCATCCGCGTCTTGGGTGACCATCACTTCCTTGTGATGGACAACTCGTAAAGCACTATCTGCCCCCCTCTTCGTACGATCCACATTCATCGTGATCCACTCAGCATCTTCGCATTGACTCTGCCCCACTCCTGCATCTCGCTCCTGCATCTCTGCATGATTCTGCGCTCTTTTTTCCACAGCCGTTGCGCTCCTTTGTTCCCTCTCCTGCATTCGCCCGCCGCTGTCCTCTTCTGCAGAAAAATCGTCTGCAGACCGCACGTTATCCAAGTTTGGTGTTCTGCGCCCTTCAGCTTCTACGGCTTCCCGGCGTGGTAATGTGGCTTGATCTGCCGCAATCGAGGGCACACCAGTATCCTCCGCCTCGATCCTGTCTCCTGAAGTACCCCAATTTGTGCGTTCTCGCGCGTCGAAAGGCACCAGTGGTGTAGATCCAGTCACCGCCTCCGTAGACCGCGCATCCATCTGCCGCGCAATCCTAACTGTCTCTACCATGGAGGTGGCGATCGTGATACCACGTTGTGCTATCCGTCCAGAGAGGGATCCTGTTATTGTCCTCGTAAAACGGGCTGGTGGTGCGGGTGCTTGTCGTGCAGATTCTCCCCGTTCCACAACTCCCTCCGAATCCTCCACTGTACGTTCTGGCGGACCCTCTACATTGCAACTGTTGGTAGCTGTTACACCAAGATCTGCCACGTGATCGCTTTGCAACCGTTCCTCTGCCGTGATCTCTTGCTCGTCCTCCTTTGCCAAACGCTCTAGCTCGTCCTCAAGTCGCTTTCGCTCAATCTCCATTTCCCTATGCCGTCTTTCCCCTTCTGCCCCCTCCCGTGCAGCATCCTCTTCAAGGCGCTTGCGCCTTGACTCTGCCATCGAAAGTGCTGCCGCCCTCGCCGCGCGCCTCTGCGCCGCTACCCGTTCCTGTTCGACTCTTAGCCTCGCCTCTTCCGCCTCTATAGCAGCACGCTGCTCCTCCTCGAGCGCTCTCTGCCGCTCTGCTTCCTCCATGCGCCGCTGTTGCTCCGCAGCCTCACTAGCACGTTGTTCATTCGCCTTTTCTCCATCCTTGTCAGCCCGCCCCATGCTGGTCACCGCCGTGGGTTCGCCACGTCCCATCTGTGCCTCCCTTTCAACGCTGGTGTGTTCCCCTCCCGTCTCTGTACGTCTTTCCGACTCCAGCATCTCCTGTCGGCCTGCAAACCCCCATCTCTCGACCATGTTCGCGGCCGCCGCGAGCGCTGCATCTGGGGAGTTGTCACATGCGAAAGGTTGGGAGAAATGCGGGGCAGACGGTGGGTTGGGTTGTTGTACCGGAACCTGGCCGACCTGTATCCTCCCAGACACCTTCTCATCCACCGCTGCCAGGATGTCGGCTTTCAAATTCTCAAGCCTCCGGCAATTCTCATCCATCGCAGACTTGACCCCTGCAAGTGTTTCATGGACGTTGGCGATAATAGCCTTTTTCATCGTCTCCATGTAGTCGTTGGGTAGAAGCACCCTAAGTCTTCCCTCCAGCGCCGCCCTGCCCATTGCCGCATCTTCCCCCTCTTTCACATGCTCCTTCAACGAGCTCAACAGCGTCACGTACTCCCGTGCCACTGCGCGTTGAACTGATTCGGCTACTCTGCGATGGAGCCCCTGTATAGAAGTGTTGATTTCCGTGCGTGTCTGCGCTGCCCTCTGCCGTTCGATGATTGCTATCGCCTTAGCCTCTCTGTACTCCCGCAGCATGTTTTCAGCGTCTTCGTTGTAGTCCTCTGCGACCCTCGCCCTCTCTGCCGCCTCTCTAGCACGCAGCGCCTCTTCCTCTCTGCGAACCATCACTGCTGCCTCCGTCCTGACCCTCTCCTCAGCCTCTTCCCTCTGCAGTTCTTGTTCCGCTCTCCTTCGCTCCTCTACGGCCTTCTCCTTATCTGCCTCCTCTATTGCACGCCGCTCCTCTTCCTCTCTACGAATCATGCAGCTGCTTCCGCCCTCACCCTATCTACAGCATCTGCCCTCTGACGTTCCTGCTCCGGTCTCATTCGCTCCTCTGCGACCCTCGCCCTCTCTGCCACCCCTCTAGCACGCAGCGCCTCTTCCTCTCTGCGAACCATCGCTGCTGCCTCCGTCCTGACCCTCTCCTCAGCCTATTCCCTCTGCCGTTCTTGTTCCGCTCTACTTCGCTCCTCTACGGCCTTCGCCTTTTCTGCCTCCTCTTTTGCACGCTGCTCCTCTTCCTCTCTACGAATCATTGCAGCTGCTTCCGCCCTCACCCTATCTGCAGCCTCTGCCCTCTAACGTTCCTGCGCCTCTCTCATGCGCTCCTCTGCGACCCTCGCGCTCTCTGCTGCCTCTCTAGCACACACCGCCTCTTCCTCTCTGCAAACCATCGCTGCTGCCTCCGTCCAGACCCTCTCCTCAACCTCTTCCCTCTGCCGTTCTTCTTCCGCCCTCCTTCGCTCCTCTACGGCCATCGCCTTATCTGCCTCCTCTCTTGCACGCCGCTCCTCTTCCTCTCTACGAATCATGCAGCTGCTTCCGCCCTCACCCTATCTGCAGCCTCTGCCCTCTCACGTTCCTGCTCCGCTCTCATGCGCTCCTTTGCGACCCTCGCCCTCTCTGCCGCCTCTCTAGCACGCAGCGCCTCTTCCTCTCTGCAAACCATCGCTGCTGCCTCTGTCCTGACCCTCTCCTCAGCTTCTTCCCTCTGCCGTTCTTGTTCCGCTCTCCTTCTCTCCTCTACGGCCTTCGCCTTATCTGCCTCCACTTTTGCACCCCGCTCCTCTTCCTCTCTACGAATCATTGCAGATGCTTCCGCACTCACCCTATCTGCAGCCTCTGCCCTCTGCCGTTCCTGCTCCGCTCTCTTGCCCTCATCTGTGGACCTCGCCCTCTCTGCATCCTCTATCGCACGCATGGCCTCCTCCTCTTTGCGTTGCTTATCCTCTGCCTCCAGCCTGGCCCTTAATGCGGCCGCTGCCCTCTGCCGTTCTTCCGCCCTTTTCCGGTCATCTACGGCCTGCGACGTCTCAGCCGCCTCCTTTGCATGCCGCGCCTCCTCCTCTCTGCGAACCATCATCGCTGCCTCCAGCCTTAATCTCTCTGCAGCGGTTGCCCTATCTGCCTCCTCTCTCAGACGAACTGCCTCATCCTCTATCCACATTTTTGCCTCTGCCTCGACCCTAGCTCTCTCTGCGGCCTGCGTTCTCAGCATTTCCTCCGCCGCTCTCTTCCGCTCCTCTGCGGCATTCGCCCTTTCTGCTGCCAGTTGACGACGCGCCTCCTCCTCGGTACGTAATCTCGCACCTTCCTCCAGCGTCCGTGTTTGTTTCTCTGCTGCCAGCGCCGCCATCTCAGCAACCTCAATTGTACGACGCCCCTCCTCCTCTTTGCGTTTGTTCGCCTATGCCTCCAACATGGCCCTTTCCGCGTCCTCAACCCTCTGCCGTTCCTCTTCGCTTTTTTTCGCTCCTCTGCGGCTCTGGCTCCTTCTGCCGCATCGTGAGGTCGATGCGTCTCCGCCTCCATGCCTACCGTCGCCTCACCCTCAGCCCTCGCCCTCTTCACACGCTCTGCACTCTGCCGATCCTCCCCCCTCCTTGTCTGCTCGTCTGCGGCCCTTGCCGTTTCCGCCTCCTTTCGCACACGTCGAGTTACCTCCTCTATGCGTCTAAACTCCTCTGCCAATGATTTCGCCTTCTCTGCAGCCTCAGCCTTTGCTGCTGCAACCATTTGTCAAACATTATATATGTTATGCTTGTGTAGGCTACAGTGGGTTAGCCTATAGGGGGTACACAATTCTAGGGTTTCCTACTTGTACTCATTTCACTGCTAGTTCATTCATTCCTGTTCGCTTATTCTCACATGGTATAGAGCGGGTCCTTCTACGGACCGTTTTTTTGGGCCCACCGAAGCGCCCCCCGAGGCGCGATCTTTTTTTTTTGCGACCCCTCGGGTCGCCATTTCCCCTGCGGCCCCGCCGCCTTCACTGACGCGGCCCCGCCGCCCTCTCTGTCGCGGCCCCGCCGCCTGCTCTCACGCGGCCCCGCCCCGGCTCCTTCGCGGCCCCGCCGCCTGCTCTCGCGCGGCCCCGCCCCGGCTTCTACGCGGCCCCGCCCCGGCTTTCACGCGGCCCCGCCGACGGCTTTGTCGCGGCCCCGCCCAGGCCCTTACGCGGCTCCGCCGCCTGCTCTCACGCGGCCCCGCCCCGGCTCCTTTGCGGCCCCGCCGCCTGCCCCCGTCGCGGCCCGGTCACCTCCTGACGGCCCCGCCGTCCCTTCCTGACGGCCCCGCCGTCCCCTCCTGACGGCTCCTGCCGTCCCCTTCTACCGGCCCCGCAACTGCACCTGCTGGCCCCGCCGCTGCACCTACCGGCCCCCCACCACCCACCCCCCCTTTTCCCGTCGCCCGTCGCGGCTCCTTCGGGGGCCGCAGCAGAGGGGTGGCAGGTGTGTGGCCTCCCCTGCTTCTCCTCCTCCTTCATCTCCCCTGCCGCAGCCGAGCCGCCCCACAGCCGAGCCGCCCTGCCGCCGAGCCGCCGGGTCGCTGAGCTGCTAAGCTGCAGTTGCTGCCGAGCCGCCCTGCCGCCGAGCCGCCGGATCACCGAGCTACTGAGCTGCAGTTGCTGCTGAGCCGCCTTGCCGCCGAGCCGCCCGAGTCGCCCGAGCCGCCGAGCCGCCGAGCTGCCGAGCCGCTGAGTCGCCGAACCTACTCTTCCCACCACTGGTGAGCTCTTGCCCTGCTAGCACGCTGCGCGTCGCCTGCTTGCCTGCCTGCCTGCCTTTTGGCTTGCCTGGCTGCCTGCCTCCCTGCTGCTAGTCCTGCTCCTGCTTCTACTTGCGGAGCCAAATGCAGCCCCAGCGACGCCGGCGTGAGTCCCTCACGCCGCAGCAGCTGCGTGAGTGGTACGCTGGTTGGGGCTGTAGGGGTGGAGACGCTACTCCTACTACCACTCCTGCTGCTTCTACTCGTGGTGGCGGCCAGATGCAGCTCCCGCGACCCTCTCGCGTGTCTCTCACGCCTCGCCAGCTTCGTGAGTGGTACGCTCAGAGTGGAGGGTCTCTTAGTGCTGTTCGCTGCTCTTACGTGATTCGCACTGGTACTCGGACTGGTCAGCCTTGTGGGACACGTAGTCATACACCGTCCCGCTGCTTCGCCCGTCTGAGCGACGCCTGGCGTACCGTGTTTGGCGACGAGGCTGAGCTTCCCGACTGGGTGGAGTTGCTTAGGCAGAGGGTAGATATATATGCTCTTGACTATGATGCTATTCTCACTGCCATGTATGCATTGCCTACTAGTGCTGACCGTGCAGGTCACCTGTGCGTCCCGCCTGACCCAGGTATAGGACCTGCTGCTCTAGCTACTGGTGAGGCTGCTGCTCTGGGTGCTAGTGAGTCTCCTGCTCCAGGTACAGGTGCGGCTGCTGCTCTAGGTGCTAGTGAGTCTGCTTCCTCAGGTGCGGGTGAGGCTGCGCTCTCAGGTACCGCGTTGGCTTCGGCCTCCCTCACCTTTACACTTGACTCTGGGGCTTCTCGCTCCTTCTTTCGGGACCGCACCACACTCACGCCGCTTGGTCAGCCGGTTGCAGTCTCCCTGGCTGACGCCTCTGGGGGTCCTGTCCTCGCTCACTTCTCCACTGTCCTCCCGTGTCCGGCTGCCCCCTCGGGCACCCTGTCTGGCCTGTACCTCAACTCGTTCTCGACGAACTTGGTGAGTGGTGCAGACCTACAGGATGCGGGGGTTCACCAGTTCACTCCTGCGAGTCAGCGGGTGACCCACTGCACGGACGCACGCACAGGCCAGCACCTGGCCACGTTCTCGCGTCGGCCGGGGTCGAGCCTCTACACCCTGACCACTGAGTCTCCTCCTGTCCCCGCGTCCGGTCAGGTAGCAGCGTCGGGTCAGGTGTTTGCTGCTGCGTCCAGGTCTGGTCCTGAGTCTGCCCCCTGTACTTGTCGCCTCCTGTCTCACGAGACTCTCCTGTGGCACCACCGTCTTGGCCACCCCTCCTTGCCCCGTCTTCGGAGCATGGCTTCCCGTGTCCTTGTCTCTGGTCTTCCCCAGTCTCTCCCTCCTCTCCCCTCCGGGCCAGGACCTTCCTGTGTCCCCTATGTCGAGGGTCGCCTCCGGGCTACTCCTCACTCCTCCCACTTCCCCCCGACAGAGGCTCCCCTGCAGACGCTTCACATGGATGTGTGGGGCCCAGCCCCCGTCCGTGGGCAGGATTACGAGCGCTACTTCCTGTTGGTGGTTGACGACTACTCGCGTTACACCACAGTCCTCCCCTTGCGCAGCAAGGGTGAGGTCACTGAGGTGCTGATCGACTGGATCCGCGAGGCTCGTCTCCGGCTCAAGAAGAGCTTCGGCTCGGACTTTCGTGTTCTGCGTCTACACTCGGACAGAGGCGGAGAGTTCTCCTCTGGCCTTCTGCGTGCCTACTGTCGTGCGCGAGGCATCCGCCAGTCCTTCACGCTTCCGGACTCACCACAGCAAAATGGGATTGCTGAGCGCCGCATTGGCATGGTCATGGATGTCGCTCGTACGTCCATGATGCATGCGGCTGCCCCCCATTTTCTGTGGCCGTTTGCGGTGAGGTACGCGGCGCATCAGCTCAACCTTCACCCCCGGGTCTCTCGGCCTGCGATGTCCCCAGCCTTGCTGTGGACAGGGAAGGTTGGCGATGCGTCTGTGTTCCGTGTCTGGGGATCTCGGGCGTTTGTCCGCGACTTGTCTGCGGACAAGCTGTCCCCTCGTGCTGCTCCCTGTGTCTTCCTTGGCTTCCCCACTGACGCCCCAGGGTGGCAGTTTTACCACCCCTCCTCTCGTCGTGTTCTGTCCTCCCAGGACGTCACGTTCGACGAGTCAGTCCCCTTCTACCGTCTCTTCCCCTACCGCACTCCTTCCCTCCCCCCTCCCCCGGACTTCCTTGTACCGGTTCCCCCCCCGGTAGACCCCCTCCCCCCTCAGGTTCCTGCCCCCTCAGGTGTGTCCCAGGTAGACGCCGTTGACCCGGTCGAGGTTACAGGTGACTCTGGTGCTGCTGCGGGTGCTGAGCCTGGGGGTGCTGACTCTGGGGGTGCTGTGCGCGGGGGTGCTGAGCCTGGGGGTGCTACTGCTGGGGGTACTGGGCCTGCGGGTGCTACTACGGAGAGTGCGGAGCCTGGGGGTGCTGAGCAGGGGGGTGCTGTGCCTGGAGGTGATGGGTCTGGGGGTGCTGGGTCGGGAGCTGCTGAGCCTGGGGGTGCTGCGTCTGGAGCTGCTGAGCCTGGGGTTTCTCCTGCTGCTGCGTCTTGCCGGGAGCCCCTCTCTCCACAGGAGCTGCGCGAGTGGTTCGCTCGCCGCTGGAGGCGTGCTGCTGAGTCTGGAGGTGCTGCTGGAGCTGGAGCTGGAGCTTCTTCGACCGTCGAGGGTGCGGGTGCTGCCGGTCCCGGAGCTGCTGGACCTGCGGGTCCTCCTGGAGCTGGAGCTGCTGAGGGCGTTGGTGCTGAGCCTGCTGCTGTTGGTCCTGCCGCTGGAGGTGTGGGTGGCGCTGGTGCTGTCTCTGAGGGCGCTGGTGCTGTCCCTGCTGCGTCTGGAGCTGCTGAGCCTGGGGTTTCTCCTGCTGCTGCGTCTCGCCGGGAGCCCCTCTCTCCACAGGAGCTGCGCGAGTGGTACGCTCGCCGCTGGAGGCGTGCTGCTGAGTCTGGAGGTGCTGCTGGAGCTGGAGCTGGAGCTTCTTCGACCGTCGAGGGTGCGGGTGCTGCCGGTCCCGGAGCTGCTGGACCTGCGGGTCCTCCTGGAGCTGGAGGTACTGAGGGCGTTGGTGCTGAGCCTACTGCTGTTGGTCCTGCTGCTGGAGGTGTGGGTGGCGCTGGTGCTGTCGCTGAGGGTGCTGGTGCTGTCCCTGCTGAGTCAAGAGCTGCCGCGCGGCCTCGGCCGTACTTCGTTCCGCTCCTACAGCAGGTTCTTGGTCTTTCTCCTTCGGTAGAGTGTCCACAGCCTGTCCAGTCGCAGTCACTGTTGGAGCCTTCCTCTCCTCTGCCTGCTCCCTCTCCTTACACTGGTCCTACTGGAGGTCTTGCTGAGCGTCGTGAGCCTGCGTCTCGTCCCGCGTCGCCTGTTCGTGCTGCTCGCGCTAGTGGTCGCGGTTCGCGTCAGCGTCCTCCTCCTGTCCCTGGCACGCACCGGATGTCTCTGCGTCCGTCCACTGCTCCTCTGCGTGCCCCTTTGCCTTCGCCTCCTGAGTCCTCTCTTCCTGCGCTTGCCGACCCTGAGTCGGACTCTCTTCGCGCTGCCAGTCCTACTGTCACGCGTCTGCTTGCTACTGTCGTCACTGACCCCTCTTTTGAGTCCACTGCTGCGTCTGCTCTAGTCGCTGAGCTCGTTGACTTTGCTGCTCGCTGTCGTCTCGACTACGCTGCTGGTCTTGTTGCTGAGTCTGCGTCTGTCTGTCCTCCGTCCGTCGGGGGTGAGTGTGCTCTTGGCACGGACGTCCTAGAGGACAGACAGGAGGAGTTACAGTGTCTAGCGGCTGCTTCACCTCATCTCGCGTCTGTACTGCTTGCCCCTGAGGGAGACCCGGATGCACTAGACATCCCGACTCCGCGTTCTTACGCGGAGGCCGTAGAGGGTCCCTACTCCTCTCAGTGGCAGGCAGCTATGGATGCAGAGATGGCTTCCTGGAAGTCCACAGGCACCTACGTTGACGCAGTTCCCCCTCCTGGGGCGAACATCGTCAGTGGCATGTGGATCTTCCGGGTGAAGCGGCCGCCGGGCTCTCCACCTGTCTTCAAGGCGCGGTACGTTGCTCGTGGCTTCAGTCAGCGGCAGGGAGTTGACTACTTTCAGACCTTCTCTCCCACCCCGAAGATGACCACTCTTCGGGTGCTGCTGCACATAGCCGCTCAGCGCGACTACGAGCTTCACTCTCTCGACTTCAGCACTGCGTTCCTGCAGGGTAGCCTGCACGAGGAGATCTGGCTGCGCCGTCCACCTGGCTTCACTGGGACTTTCCCTCCTGGCACCCAGTGGAGCCTCCGACGGCCAGTCTACGGTCTCCGCCAGGCACCGCGTGAGTGGCACGACACACTAAGGACTACGCTTGCGGCTCTTGGGTTTGCTCCTTCTACTGCTGACCCGTCGCTGTTTCTGCGCACCGACACTTCACTGCCGCCGTTCTACATCCTCGTGTACGTCGACGACTTGGTCTTTGCCACAGCGGACACTGCTGGACTCGCCTACGTGAAGTCCGAACTGCTGAAGAGACACACGTGCACAGACCTGGGTGAACTGCGCAGCTACCTTGGCTTGCAGATCACTCGGGACAGAGCACGCCGCACCATTACCTTGACTCAGTCACACATGGTGCAGCAGGTCCTTCAGCGCTTCGGCTTCACGTACTCCTCGCCTCAGGCCACTCCTCTGCCTACTCGCCACTCACTCTCAGCTCTGCCTTCGGATGAGTCCGTAGAGTCGAGTGGTCCGTATGCAGAGCTTGTTGGCTGCCTCATGTACCTGATGACCTGCACACGACCTGACCTTGCATATCCTCTGAGCATTCTTGCACGCTATGTTGCTCCTGGGAGACACAGACCAGAGCACATGGCTGCAGCGAAGAGGGTATTGCGCTACCTGTGCAGTACGTCGGGCATGGGGCTTGTGCTTGGAGGGCGGAGTCCAGTGGTCCTTACCGGCCACGCGGACGCTTCTTGGGCTGACGACCAGGCTACGCAGCGGTCGTCACAGGGTTACACCTTCAGCCTTGGTTCCGGCTCTGTCTCGTGGCGGTCTACTCGCTCGTCTTCGGTTCTCGGCTCCAGTTGTGAGGCTGAGATCTACGCCGGGGCCATGGCTGCACAGGAGCTTCGCTGGCTCACCTACCTGCTGACTGACCTTGGAGAGCCGCCTCGTTCTCCTCCAGTGCTGTACGTAGACAACAAGGCCATGCTGGCCTTGTGTCGAGAGCAGCGCTTGGAGCACAGAACGAAGCACATTGCTCTCCGCTACTTCCTTGCTCGTGAGCTACAGCAGCGTGGTCAGTTGCGACTTGCGTACGTGGCCTCTGAGGCCAACACTGCTGATGTGTTCACCAAGGCACTCGCGCCTTGTGACCATCAGCGCTTTTGCACCCAGCTGGGTCTTGTGCCTGTCTTGCCTCACTTGCTCTCCTCTTGACTTCACTTGTACTGTGACATATATATATACCTGCTCTTGCTTGTCTAGTTTTATATATATGTCTGTACTCCTGCATGTGAACTGGCCTCTGGCCCTGCTCTTGTGCTCGGACTGTGTGGTGACTTTGTGATCCACCCTGAGCTTGCTTTGCTTTGCTTGACTGGTCTTGTGACCCCTTGTTCTCCCCCACTTTGCCTATGAGGGTGTGTCAAACATTATATATGTTATGCTTGTGTAGGCTATAGTGGGTTAGCCTATAGGGGGTACACAATTCTAGGGTTTCCTACTTGTACTCATTTCACTGCTAGTTCATTCATTCCTGTTCGCTTATTCTCACACCATTTCTCTGTTTGACTCTCCTGGTCATGCAGCAGAATCAAACTCGCTGCCGCGCAACACCTCGCCTGCCCCGTTCTCTACAGCGTCTATCTCTATCATCACCCTCTCTGGTAGGCCACCTTCAATCCCCACTGAAGTAGGCTGTTGATTTGCACTACCATGCATTGACGTCGTTCCTCTGCGGGTGTACACAAATGTCGATGACGCCGCCTCTACGGCTGTTCGCATTATCTCATTGTCGTTCTCAGACTGAGGATTTGGCCAATTGATTTGTACACCCTCCGCTTCTACTTCCATTGGTAGACGACCCTCACTTGCAATCCCTCCATCCGGAACTTCCATAGCAGCTTCGCCGTCTGTACCATCCCCTTGGCCCACTAGCGTCTCGTCCTCTTGGTCGTCGATGCGCACAGTGAATAACCTATCACACTCGCCCACAAGCAACTCCTTTACCTTATCTTTCGTGCGGGAGCCTTTGCCGAGTGTAACAAACGAGTCGTCCCACTGCAGCTGTAGAATGTCATCCCATTTTTCAAGCACCTTAGTCCATGCGTGGGCGACTTGAAAGCCCGAACCTGGTTGTGCCCATCTGAGATTTTTCGTCATCTGCCAGCACGGAGAACAATGTATTTGAGTTCGTGTGGTGTAACCGAAAACACACTTGGACGCACGCGAACATATTGACTGCTAAAATTACTCACCCCCCCTGGAAATTGGAGGTACAAATCCGACAGACGCGTCTTCATGTCGCGAACGACTATTTTGTCGTTCTTAGAGCTGTTGTCTTCAATGAATGTTGTGTACTCAACAATCAATTGCTCCTGCAACCATCTGTAGTCAAAGACAGAATAACAGTCAGAATCGTAAACCATCCAGTTTCAATGGCAATGAGCAGCATGACTTACTGCAACACTTCTTGAGCAAAATCTCCGTGAGAGTGAGTCGGGACACCACTCTTAGGGTCGAAGAAGATGATCCGTGTACGGTCTGTTCTCCGGGTGGGAGAGCGGAGATCGCATGGAGCTAGGAGAACGAGGAGGCTGATAGCCACTTTCGGCTCGCTGCTCAATCGGCACATTGCAAACGCATATTGTTAGTGAACTTTTCTTTGTGGAAGGCGATATGCGAAAACGATAACACACTTACTTGGACCACAGCGGGAATACAAGGGCGTCTTTGGTGAGGAGGCCGTCTGTTGGCCTCTTCGATATCGCTTTCGGATGGATTAGTTTAATCCGTTTCCTTACGAAGGATGAGGAAAAAATAGCAATCTTCTGCCGTTGTTGTATGGGCAGCAGAGTCTTGGTTAATGCCCTGCATGAAAAAAAGATTATAGAAAACCAGAGGTCGGTTTTAGTTGACAGACAGTCGATGCGGAGGGCTGAGGTGCCAACAATACGATGTACACAAGGCAGATGATGTACTTACAAGATAGCGAAGTTAAGAAGGTCCTCTGACCACTCTTTCTGCAAACCCCTAAGCAGAGGTGTGTCGGCCATGGCTTGCGCGACCCAGTTCCTCTACTCAATTAGCAGTCGTAGGCTTGGAGTTAATAAGTCGCTATCTAAACTCTTGACGCGGTCTCTGCCTAAGGTTGCTGAAGCACCGGGAACTACCCGGTGAAGCTAGTAGAAGACCTCTCAAGATATCTCTGCATTCTACGCGTAGGAAGCAAGATTGGATGCAAAAACTGGGAGAATGAGGTTGGTCGATGGACGTTGCAGCCAAAATGGATTGAATCGTAGGATTCCGAGCAGAGGTGAAGCACGTGTTGCAACAACGATTGGGTCGCGTTCACCTTCGCAGATGGAGCCTCTGGTTTAGCGAATCTTTTAGTGGCCGTCATATGAGACGTCGTGGTGTGCAGAATTTACTGCCTCGCTTAGTTGTTTTGGGCTGATGAACCCTTAGCTGAATATTCGGATTTGGATAACAACCTCTCTATCTAAACGAGAACATGCTGTCTCCCACGAAGGTTGGTGTTCCGAAATTGGGGGGAATCACGTGCCTCTGGTGTCGCAGATGTTCTGCCAAGAACGGACACGTGGTGTGAAACAAGTAAATAGGAAAAGTGAACGAACTAGCAGTGGAATGAGTACAAGTAGGAAACCCTAGAGTTGTGTACCCCCTATAGGCTAACCCACTGTAGCCTACACAAGCATAACATATATAATGTTTGACACGTGGCGCCGTCACACTGAAGCCCTTATCTACGCAGAGGATGTTGATGATGACCTCTGCACCGCACACCCTAGTATGCGGTTGGAGATCATCGCCAGACGTTTTGTAAGGGCTGCCCGTAAAAATAAATGGGGCGAGTGGGATCCCCAGATATCTGCGAGCCTTTGGAAACTTGCACGCCAGATAGAATCTGACACGAAGTGTGTCAGAGAAGGTTTCTGAGCCGATTAACACTGCCAGATGCAGAGTCTACCCTATATTAACTCTACATTTTATGCTAGTACTCGAGGTTGCGCCCTGACGCGATAAGAGTGAAGTGTAGTGTGAACTATTGTGCTATAATTGTGTAATATACAGAAAGTTTGCATTAAAAAAAAAACACCCAAACTGTGTAGCGCCCATCAACCGTCAATATGGAGAAATGCTGCATGAATGTGAACCCTCCTTTTGTCATCACACTGTACAAGCGCAATGCCCTTCACTTTTAACTACATCGTCGAGATTTTATAGTGTCTCAGTATAGGAATTTAAGCATGCATAAGCAAACATGTTTGCTGCAATTTCAGGCAAACCTTGCAGAAAAATGCGGCGAAACCATATCTAGACTTATTGGATTGTTCCGAAAATGATAGGGGAGTCTTTCAATGGTGTGATGAGACTCCCTTATGAGTTTGAGAGCTCAATTCTAAGGTTTAGTTTGTGTTTTGCATCAAAACCCAGACGCAGGCATTCTGCAGAAATTCCCGGCTTATCTTGCAGAACAAAGGATGAAATGCCTATCAAACCTTATTGGATTGACCTGAAAATGATCGGGGGATCTATAATCAGTAAGATGAGACTCCCCTATGAGTTTGAGAGCTTAATTCCAAGGTTTGGTTTGTGTTTTGCATCAGACACCAAACTGGCACAATTCTGCATAAATTTCAGGCTTATCTTGCATAACAAAGCATGAATGACCTACCAAATCTTATTGTATTGACTTAAAAATGATAGTGGGATCTATAATCAGTGTGTTGAGACTCCCCTATGAGTTTCAGAGCTTAATTCCAATGTTTGGTTTGTGTTTTGCATGTGAATCCAATTGCAGTCAATTCTGCAGGGTTTTCAGGCATATCTTTCACGACAAAGCATAAAAGGCCTATCAAACCTTAATGGGTTGACTTGAAGATGAGAGGGGGATCTATAATTAGTGATATGAGGCTTCCCTATGAGTTTCAGAGCTAAATTCTAATGTTTGGTTTGTGTTTTGCATGTGAATCCAATTGAAGTCAATTCTGCAGAGTTTTCAGGCTTCTCTTTCACGACAAAGCATAAAAGACCTATCAAACCTTAATGGATTGACTTGAAAATGAGAGGGGGGTCTATAATTAGTAGCATGAGGCTCCCCTATGAGTTTTAGAGCTAAATTCTAATGTTTGGTTTGTGTTTTTCATGTGAATCCAATTGAGGTCAATTCTGCAGAGTTTTCAGGCTTCTCTTTCACGACAAAGCATAAAAGGCCTACCAAACCTTAATGGATTGACTTGAAAATGAGAGGGGAGTCTATAATTAGTGACATGAGGCTCCCCTATGAGTTTCAGAGCTTCGTTACAATGTTTAGTTTGTGTTTTGCCTGTGAATCCAATTGCAGTCAATTCTGCAGAGTTTTCAGGCATATCTATCATGACAAAGCATAAAAGGCCTATCAAACCTTAATGGATTGACTTGAAAATGAGAGAGGGATCTAGAATTAATAGCATGAGGCTGCCCTATGAGTTTCAGAGCTAAATTCCAATGTTTAGTTTGTGTTTTGCATGTGAATCCAATTGCAGTCAATTCTGCAAAGTTTTCAGGCTTATCTTTCACAACAAAGCATAAAAGGCCTATCAAAACTTAATGGATTGACTTGAAAATGAGAGGGGGATCTATAATTAGTAGCATGAGGCTCCCCTATGAGTTTCAAAGATTAATTCCAATGTTTGGTTTGTGCTTTAAAACTTAGACTAAGTCAAGGTAACCACGACAAAAATCATCATCAACAACCTCTCTCTGGTTTTTGGATTGATCTGAAAATTGGTACAGGATCTTTCAATGTTGGAATGATACTCCTCTAAAAAACTCTGCTCATTTGGACCACAGTACAATGGTTTGCAAAGCAAAATGAGTAAGCAGGCGATTGTGACACAAAATGGTGCAGGTTGCTGAAAGAACCAAACGTGAGTAGGCAGACAGCCAACATAGTTGATGATAACAGTAGCACAATCTTCAAAACCAAAAAACAACTTGCAAGAAATTTACAACTGTCCATGATAGCTAGAGAATGAGTTGTCATGTACTAGGAGCTTCAATGGAGTAGCTTGATATGTTGGTTTTGGTGAATTCCACCAAAAATTTTATTTCAATCTTAAACTCTAGAGGATGTCTAGGGAAGATGCTAGAGCCATTCAGAAGATGATTTGCATCACTAACCTATCTGTTACCAGCGTTTAAAGGTACGCCAGAAGGCAGGCATTTAGAGCAGCAAACCACCCTTAAATGTGTTTTTTACTAATCTCTCCATTGTAGTAAGGTATGGGATGGCTGAATCTATCGTATCATTAAAAAAAAAAACCAGCAAAAAAATTCCCAACACTCAGCCAATTCTGTGGACTCCATTTTGGATTGTTTCAGAGCCTTATTGTGCAATTTGTTCTGTATGTAAGCACCAAAATTTGCTCATCTTGACTGTTCTGCATGTTACTGGCGACCTCTCTGCGCGACCCCCATGTGGCGACCGTCGCTGTGTCACTGTTCACGCCGAACGAAATATTCACAAAATGTTGGCGAAATTTCGTGAACCATATTTTTATAACTATATGTGGACCTTTTTTTCGCCCGTCTGCGTCCTGTCTATTTTCGTCGGGCAAATCCAAAAAATTGCCAGGCGCTTGTCTATTTCGCGTGCGCCTGTCTACGTCGCCACGAAATGCACGTTCCCCGTCTGGGGATCCATATATTCCTGGGTAGGTGGTTCGCCCTGCAGTACAACTTGTGGTACAAAGCAGCCCCAGCTGCAATTGTGCTAAATTCTCGCGCACTCTATTTTCGGCCATCGCAGAAGGGAATGCGATGATTGCGAGGAAGGGGAAGGGGGAGGAGAGGGAGGGTGTAATACTCATTACCGACTGGTTCGGTGTAGGGAGAGAGAATACTCTATAATAACTGGCTATTTAGCCACAATCAGCATTGCAATATACAGCCTACAGAAACTCATCTACAGCCTTGATATTCTAATTGAGAGTGCCTTTCCCGCCCGAGAAACAGCCCTTGAGTGAGAACACTCAGCGTTACTTTCTATCACATGCACAGGCAGCGAAACATCCATCGTGTTCCAAGGTCTTCTTGTTGATAGCGCTCCAAAACTCGATGCACCATCCTCGTTCTGATTGGACTGACCTGCCTCGATTTCCCCGGAAACCACATGCTGAGTCAACGACGATGGACCGGAATCCATAGTGCTGCTGTCCCCCACTTGCCCTTGCTCAAGTGAGTTGTTGTGAGTCTCGGAACCATTCCCAAAAGCTTCCACATGAGACAAAATGCTCTCTTCCCCAGTCACATCTCCTCCTGATACCACTGACTGTGGCAGCAGCGCCACGTGTTTCTTGCTCTCATCCTTCCTTACCATCCTCGGCCCTTCCCCGAAACCCAACAACCGGACGAATTCCGCCGCCTCTCTTGCAGCTTGCCGCCCGGTGGAGAACGCGCCGTGAACAGTGCCAGGGTGGGCGCGTGAGGTGGCTTCCCCGGCGAAGAAGAGGGGAGGGAGGGGGGCGCGGAGGGAATCGTAGACGTCAGGAGGGGCGTCCACTGCATCGTAGGAGTAGGATCCGAGGGAGAAGGGATCTGACCCCCACGTGGTGATGCGTGCCTGAATCTGTTTGGAAGCCAGAGTGAAAAAAGCAAACGGGGGGTAGTGAAAGACGCGGGGAGGGGCGTGCACTGCATCTTAGGGAGTAGGCTCCGAGGGAAAAGAGGTATGACCCCCACGTGGTGATGTGCGCCTGGATCTGCATGGGGGGTGGGAGAAGTGAAGAAACAGAGGGGAGGGAGAGGAGGGGATGGAAACACCAAGAGTGGAACCCCCACACTCACGCACTGCTGGTGCTTTGGGGGAGCATACTCACAGATTCTGACGCGTGGGGAAGGATACGGCAATAGTTTCGACCCGGATCCAACAGGTAACTCGTCCTAATCTTCTCTAGGCTGCGCTTTAGGCTAGTAGGGATTGAATAGGTAAGAAATCTTCATTCAAACCTGAGCGAATGCAAACATAGGAAGGATCTTCCTAAGCTGCAGCATGGTGAATGCAATGGTTTCACACTACCCCATTTCCTCCATATCCTCTGCCAGCCGCCCTGCTGCCATGAACACAAGCACCGCCCTCTCGCCCCGGCTCGCCTCTACAACGAACCTCCCTAAAGGCGTAAACCTCCCCTTCTCACTCACCACACAAACAAACCCGTTCAGATAAAAATCCGGTGAGAGGAAGCCAGTGTTTCAGGGGAGAGTGCTTACAGGTTCAGGCGCGTGGGGCAGAATCTTCCTAAGCTGCAGCATGGTGAACGCCACAGCCTCGCTCTCCCCCATCCCCTCCATCTCCTCTGCCAGCCGCCCTGCCGGCATGAACACCAGCACTGCCCTCTCGCCCTGGCTGGCCTTGTGCAGGTTCAGGAAGTAGCTGCATGCGTAGGGTGTGTCTGCTACCACTCCCAGGAATTCCACCGAGGGCCAGAAGCAGGAGGGGAAGAGGAGCGCGATTTTGTTCTCGATTCCGACTCCGATGGAGTGGAGAGCGGTGCATTTGGATGGCGGGAGAGGAGGGGAGAAGTGGATGCGGTTGGGGTGGGTAGGGGTGGTGGACGGATGGGTGTTGCTGCTGCTGCCTATTCTGCTGCTGCTACTGCATTTACAGCTGTTACTGCCGTTACCGTTACTGCAGTTGCTGCAGTTGCTACAGTTGCTGCGATTATCACCATTGGCTGACTCAGCTAAGGGAATCTCCTGATTTGAGCTGCCTACGTGGCCCACAGACAACCGCAGAACGCCAGCTGGCAGGGTGACAACCGCCACGTCAGCGGAGAAGATGGTGCCGTCAGCCGTGGTGACGTGGACACCGGGTCTACACGGCATACTGACGTCAGCTACAGCTTCACTAGTGCAAGAACCGGGATTCTGGGACATGTGACAGCTAGGCGAGCAGCGTGCATCCGCAGCAGCAGGACTTACAGGGTTACATGTGCTGCTAATTCCGCTTCTGGTGTCGTGCATACTGTTACTACTGCCGAAAACGCACTCTCTACACCCAGTGCACCTGAGACTAGCACATGGTATGCGGTGGTTAGCGGAACCCTGCTCGGTGAGTCTGTTACACTGATGGCTGCCCTGCTGCTGCCCTGCCTGCACTGCTGCACCTACGCCTGTTGCCTCTACCCTCATAGCCAGCACCTCCCCTGCTGTTCCTATCCCTCCGGATACTGATCTATCCAGATCCTGTGACGAGGACCAGTCAATGTTGACCACTCTGTGAGAAAGAAAGCGGGAAAGAGAAAAAGCGGGTCAGAAAGAATGAAGCGGGCAGGAAAAGGAAAAGCAGTGAAGGAAAGGATTTGCTGTAACTGCAACAGATGTCAAATGACTTTCGTAATAAGCCCAAAACACATAATTTCGTGACTTGATCGAGTGCACATGCTCACATACACGTCTCCAGGGCCACCACAACATCACATCACGCCATCACCTGTGATTAAAACGAATGTCCAGCCCAGCAGCTAGGGCGTCCAGCACAGGCAGGTAGCCGTTAACCATGAGGCCGTGACCCCCCTCCACTAGATCCTCCTGTATGCAGCATGATGGAGTGAGCAGCGCGCACGTGAGGAGCAGAATGGGATAACGAGCCAAGAGGCCAGATGGGAAGCAAGGGCGTCCAGCACAGGCAGGTAGCCGTTCACCATGAGGCCGTGACCCCCCTCCACTAGATCCTCCTGCATGCAACATGATGGAGTGAGCAGCACGCACGTGAGGAGCAGTATGGGGTAACAAGCACACGGGGCCAGATGGGAAGCAAGGGCGTCCAGCACAGGCAGGTAGCCGTTCACCATGAGGCCGTGACCCCCCTCCACTAGATCCTCCTGCATGCAACATGATGGAGTGAGCAGCACGCACGTGAGGAGCAGTATGGGGTAACAAGCACACGGGGCCAGATGGGAAGCAAGGGCGTCCAGCACAGGCAGGTAGCCGTTCACCATGAGGCCATGACCCCCCTCCACTAGATCCTCCTGCATGCAACATGATGGAGTGAGCAGCACGCACGTGAGGAGCAGTATGGGGTAACAAGCACACGGGGCCAGATGGGAAGCAAGGGCGTCCAGCACAGGCAGGTCGCCTTTCACCATGAGGCCGTGACCCCCTCCACTAGATCATCCTACAACCATATTGTGCGTGCGTGCAGCATAATGGGATGAGCCGCATGATGGGATGAGCAGCATGATGGGATGAGCCGCATGATGGGATGAGCCGCATGATGGGATGAGCCGCATGATGGGATGAGCCGCATGATGGCATGCTGATGCTCTGTTCCTGTCAGCACACCACAAGCCCCTACGGCTCACCTCCTCCCAGCATTTGGCAGAGAGATTCTTCAAGTCTGTAGCGAACCACCCCTCCATGCGGCACAGGTACCACTGCAGCACCTGCCGCTCCACACCCTGTAGTGTCAGGTCCGGCCTGCGCTGCTCCACCAGAGCCAAGGCATGCTCCATGTTCATGTCCTCGCTCGTGTTCTTGCAAATTTGGCGAGTCTGTTGTTTGGTCGATGCGATGATATTACAGAGAGAAAGAGGACTGAGCTACTACTGCAGCACCCGCCGCTCCACACCCTGTAGTGTCAGGTCCGGCCTGCACTGCTCCACCAGAGCCAAGGCATGCTCCATGTTCATGTCCTCGCATGTGCTGGCGCATATTTGACGCGTCTGGTGGCGTGGGGATAATTGTTTTGAAAGGAAGGGGTAAGAGATACCAGTTGATCACCTGCCCGCTCCTCCCCTCTGCCTGTAGTCTCAGCTCCGGCCCCCGCTGCTCCACCAGAGCCAAGGCATGCTCCACGTATGTCCTTGCTTGTGTCAGTGCACAGCTGCCAGGTCTGGTGGTGTGGAGATGAGATGATGGAGAGAAAGAAGGACTACATGATGTTCCCTGAGAACAGCTCCACTGATGCCAAGGCATGCTCCGTGTTCTTGGCATATTCTCGTTCAAGGAGACTCAGTCGGGATATTGAAATGATGGATGGACAGGACACTATGCAGGGGACCCTACAGTACACGACCTTAGAAACATGGCATAAATTTCCTCGTGCGAGAAGACTCAGCTGGATACTGAAACGAAGGATGGACAGCATTCAGAGGACACTGACGACGTACCCCTTCCAGCGACAACACTTCCAGCATATCGCTATGAACACCTGCTCCACACGCTCCAATACGTCACCTCCTTATGGGGTAGAAGTTTAGAAGTTTGACTGGAAGCACATAGATTTCCCAGAGAACCCTCACGACATACCTCTTCCAGCATCTATTCGAACACCTGCTCCACCACGTCCTCATGGTGTTGACGTTTATAAGCAACTCACTAAAAGCACATGTTTTTTTCAGATGACCCTCACGGCGTACCTCTTCCAGCATCTCTTCGAACACCCTCTCTACGCGTTCCACCACGTCCTGGGGAATCTTCACCCCATCCTCATCGTACAGCGCATAGCTGAAACGGACACAGGGGGGGTGTTGAGATAGCACCATCTGCAGATTGCGTTTCGAGAAGTTTCTAAGGGAGGGGGTCCATTTGATCAAAGCAACGCATGCTGTTGAGGGTTGAAGGGGAAGTTGCACCTTGGGATTCAAGAAGGCGTATTGGAAACAGAGAAATGAAGGGAAAACGAACTTAGAACTAAGCAACACACAAAACCAGACAACACCACACAGCACCATATAGCACCGTACAGCACTCGACACCACCACGTAGGTCCACACGGCACCACACAGCACCATGCCACCTACCCACCTCTCAAGGTCATGACCATCATAGAGCTCAGACTCATCCCCGCTGGCTCAGTGAAGCGGAAGCTGGAAACACAACACCACAATCCTACCCACCGCCACCACCGCGCTTTCCCAGTACCCACCTCTCAAGGTCGTGATCATAGAGAACCGAGTCGTCTCCACTGGTTCGGTAAAGCGGAAGCTGGAGGTCCGCGATCAGCCGAGCCAGCGGATTACTCTCAGAAACACCGTGCAGCCTGCAGAAGGGAGAGAAAACAGGTACATTAGAGGGACAGATAAGCCGGGGGAGGAGTAGATCTGAGAGGAAGGTGAGATGGGGGGGGGGGGTAAGCAGGTTGGAGAAACAGTGGTCGGAAAGCTTTACTGATGAATGTTACGGTAATCGCAACGAAGGAATGAATAAGGGACCAGCTGGGTGTTGGTAACGAACTCACAGACCACTGTTGGGAACAATCGCTTACCAGGCAGCACCTAGATCAAGCGGAAAGCCAAAAGAGTAGTCTGTGAAGGCGCGACCTCCGATGCGATTCCTTGCCTCTAGCACCACCACCTACCGTAGATGGGGAGCAACGCAGGCCAGAGGAGATTTCACGTTGTTAGCAATGACAAAACGTCTCAACCTTGCCTCTGTCACCACCATTCGTGGTGTCAGCAGAGAAATTTATGGAGCCAGTGAGTTAGACGTTCCGGAGGGAGGGATGGAACAATAAGAGAAAGAGGATGAAAGAGCCTGATAGTTCAAATGCATCGTGACTTTGACGATGTTGCAGGTCAGGCGTCAAGCTGCAGAACAACCATTAGACTGCAGAAAAACCGTCATGATGAGTTCCATGATGTTCTCAGGAGCTTTGGAGGAAGATGAACCCTTTGCATGCATGAAACGATCAAGTTGCAGAACCAAGTTCCCTGGGATGTGAACTGTGTAGATACTCGGTGTAATCAAATTGCACGACCGGCTCGAAGATACATCCTGGAACAATCCCGGACGAAAACATCGCACCTCAAACGATGCGTGATGCAGCGCGTGAGCTGCTGCCAGGCCGGAGAACCCGCTACCAATCACGATGGCTGAAGGCCGTCGAATAGTACCTTGGCGATTGCTTGTGTTCGTACCGGTGGCAGCAGTGCTGTGCAAAGTGCCTTTACCATCGCTGTGACCAGCTGAATAGAGAGAGCTACGCTGCTTCTGATTCGCCATGAACCCGAGAGAGATAGACAAGCAGGATTAGCTATCCTTTCGCGAGCTTGGGAATTAGAGAAGTTTATTAGCCTGCGCGACGAGAAAAAACGGTGCAGCCTTGAGATCTGGACACAAAACGACCTCAGCAGAGGATGTTCGAGCTTACGTTTCGGGAACGCAGGAAATCATAAGGCTTGTGAAACGACCTACGTTCGAACAGGCTGATTCCGAGATTCCCACGGTTTTGTTGATTGTTGGTAGTTTGCGAGTGACTGAAAACGTTCTCAAGGGAATTTGTGGTGAGGAGGAGTTCCCAGGAGGATTTTCCAACGCAGCGATGTGGGTGTTTCCGTCAGGCGAAAAATGTCAGGTGACATTTTCATGACACATTATCCGTTGCAATTGATTCGTCTGTTCAGGGCGTGTCCAGTTCGTTCATTTCGGGATTTTTCGTGCCAACGCACGTATCGAGGTTCAAAAATGACTACCGTACCTAGAAACGAATGCATTGTGAGTGGAGTCCAACCATCCTGTAATTTCAGAAGCGCGGACACATCCCCCGCCACACGAATCAACAGTGCTCTGACAACGTTGAAACGAGGTAACAGTTTCCCTCGTCAATCATAGCTTGAAAATTTTTGTGCAGGCGCAGGGGGCGCTGGCGAGTAGAGCGAACCACTTACGAAATCGTGCAAGCGATACAAGGGAAACGAACTGTAGTGGCCAGGACGCGGTACTGTACCCTTGCTCGCTTCCCTGCTGATTCCAGTAACGTGAGTCAGATGACTCTAGGTACGTGCATGGGGCGTGCCGTCTTGCGAACAGAAGCTGATTGTGTCCGCTGGACACGTTCAATAAAGGGTTACCACAAAAAATGTGGTAACTGAGGGGGTTTACGAACAGTAAATGTACGAGCTGGACCCCCCCTTAGATACGGTCAGAAGGGTGGTGGACACTTCATGATTTGTCCGCGTGTATTCCATTGGAGGGAAGGATGAACGATATCTGCTTGGTGATGTCATTGTGAAGTGGAAAGTGACCCATCCCATCAGGCTCTGAGGATTTCATGCACGCTATTGGCTGACAAAGAACAGACTGACCAATTAAATTCCCTCTGTCACTTTGATGCTCCGAATGAAGATGCTACAGACCGCTTCGAGTTCAGTATGTGAGTTGCTCATTAATGTCGAGATACACTTCGGTTTTTCCAGCAATTCATATGTCCTAATGCACCGTCCTCAGAATTATCACAGCTGGCACTTCGTTTGCGTAACACCCTCCCCCATGTTCCTCACCTCTGCTCTCTTGTTCCTCCGTTATTGTCACACAATAGACCGCCATACCACTATTCTCACTGCCGCGCTAAGCTCCGACCCTCATATCTAGTGTCACTAGCAGCTAGCGACATCTTCAGCACCAGATTCTGGGAACGTTTCGTGTCATAAGCTGTTTCGCTACCTGATCTTTCGGTAATTATCCAGTCTCTGGCATGTAAAATTTCATGGCAGGTCACCAACCTCATTTCACACCTCCTATTTCACCTCCGACTCCCGGGAGGACCGTCGGAGAAGCAGCAGTAGGCGGAATGGCAGCTCAGGCTGGCGGAAACGGCGGAGACGGTGGAGCGGGAGGCTTAGGGGGAGGCGGAGGCGGAGGCGGAGATGGAAGCGGAGGCGGAAGCTTAGGCGGTCGTCCCGTGGGGGATGATTATGTTCTGGAGAAGCAGATAGGTTCGGGGTCGTTTTCCGTGGTGTGGAGGGGTAGGAGGCGGTCGACGGGCGACGCGGTGGCGATTAAGGAAATTCCGACGGAGAAATTAAGTGCCAAGCTGCACGAGAGTCTCGAGTCGGAGATTGCGATTCTGAAACGCGCAAGGCATCCCAATATCGTTCATCTATTGGACATAGTTAAGGTGCGTTGGGCGTTCCAAATATGCGTAGCACCTTATGTTTCCCGGCGCGAGGCATCCCAACATAAACCACCTGTTGGACATAGCTAAGGTGCGTATGACCGTCCGTGCATGCTTAGCACATGTTATATCTCTTCTAGCGGTTCTATGTTGCGCTAGCCACCCAACGTCGTTTTTGGCGTATGGTATTGAGGTGGATAGCTTAGTGCTGTCCGCTGAGTATATGCTATGCTATCCTAAAAGTTTTCAAAGGCCCTCAGCTGTACTCTGGGAATGTTTATTCGCGCGAGGCACCTCAAGATGATATCAGTAGCGCCTCAATTGCTTGCTTATGAGTCGACTTACGACACCTATAATAGATTAGACGGGCGTGGCTTCTGAGCCGGGCATTGTGAAGCTCTGTTGCACTGTTCAGGCATTTGAAAATGTGTGGTAAGGGTCATTTCTGTTGAAGATGCACTTTTTAAGTGCGTCAAATAAGCTGTATAGCGTTAGGAGGCGAAGTGAAGTGAATTGCACTGTGCAATTATTCCCGTGTTTTGTTAGATGTTATTCTTCTGCTTTCCCACATCCTTTCTGCTTTGCATTTTGTTATTTTCCGTGTCCTGCCTGTCCGCAATTATGTCTATTCCTCTCCCCCCACTCCAGACCTCGTCGCGTATGTTCCTTGTCCTGGAGTACTGCGCGGGTGGTGACCTCTCGCACCACATCAGGCGGGGCGGGGCGGTGAAAGAGGCGGCAGCCCGGCACTTCATGCGGCAGCTGGGAGCGGGACTGCAGGTGCTGCGAGCCAACAACCTTATTCACCGGGATTTGAAGCCCCAGGTCGGTATGGTGTACGGTGTGGTTGACTGATTTGTGAGATGGGTTGGAGGCGGTGAAAGAGGCGGCAGCAAGGCACTTCCTGCGGCAGCTGGGAGCGGGACTGCAGGTGCTGCGAGCAAACAACCTCTTTTTCCTCCATTCCATCTATACAGTATTTTATTACAACTGCATCGTCAAAGTCCAACAAAAGTCTCAGGTTTCTGTTTCTGCCGTCTCTGCCCATGTGATACATACACTACGCCCTGCCTCGCTTGTTCTCAGAACCTCCTGCTATCTGAGCGCACCTCTGCTGCAGTGCTCAAGATTGCAGACTTCGGATTCGCCAGGTCAGTTCTCCATTCACGCAAGAGCATATGTTGATCACATCTCTCACCAGGCAGGCAGGCACCCACCCTTCCAAACCGTTCCATCCACCAACTGCCACCGTTTGCATAGCAGAGAGCAATCTTGACGCCTCTCACTTTTCCTATGGCAGGTCGCTGCAGCCACAGGGCCTGGCGAAGACGCTGTGTGGTGTGCTTCCCCCCTGTACATGGCTGGCTCGCACCATAAGCGGCAGTTCTCTCTGCTCCGCTTTTTGAGGCGCCTCAATTTTTTTTTTTTTTTTTTTTTTTTTTTGAGGCGCCTCAAAATTTTTTTTTTTTCTTTGAGGCGCCTCAAAAATCCCCCCTGTACATGGCTGGCTGGCACCATAAGCGGCAGTTCTCTCCTCTGCTCCGCACCCTTCCTCCCCCCTCTCTCTGTCTCCTCCTTGCACCACACCACAACAGGTCGCTGCAGCCACAGGGCCTGGCGGAGACGCTGTGTGGATCTCCCCTGTACATGGCGCCAGAGATCCTGCAGTGCCAGCGATACGACGCCAAGGTGTGTATGTGAAGGCGAAAAGTGAACGGTAATGGTTGGTATGTGGTCACACGTTTTCTTCCATCTCTCAGCCCCTTTCCTCCTTCTTCTACCCTCCATCACTCCCCGTTGCATCCTTCGTTTCCTGGGTTCTGACATCCCTTCCATTCGCAACGCCCTTCTCCCCACCCCCCCTCTCACGGTCGCTCTTTCGCCCTCACTGCTCCGTCTCCTCCCTCTCCACCAGGCGGACTTGTGGAGTGTGGGCGCCATTCTCTTTGAGCTCGTCGTGGGGCGGCCCCCTTTGGCGGTCGGAACCACGTTCATTTGAGAATCCTTCTCTCTACCTCCCCGTCCTTCTCCCTCCCACCTCACTCACCATCTCCTCCCTCTCCACCAGGCGGACTTGTGTAGTGTGGGCGCCATTCTCTTTGAGCTTGTCGTGGGGCGACCACCATTTGGACTCGACTCAATCAGAAGCCTTTTCTCTATCTCACTGTCCCTCCCTCTCGCCCTCACTGTCCCTCCCTCTCGCCCTCACTGTTACCAGGCGGACTTGTGGAGTGTGGGCGCCATTCTCTTTGAGCTTGTTGTGGGGCGACCACCTTTTGGCGGTCAGAATCACGTGCATGTGAGTATCACGAGTACTTCTTCCCCTATGTGTGTGTGTGTATGTGCGCGCGCGCGTGTGTTTGTGTGTGTGTGTGTGAACTTTTCCTGCACGTGTGTTGTTCTCGCTGGTCCTCTTACTTATCGAATGTGGCTTGTGAGTCAGCACTCTCCCTCCCTCACTTCCGCCCCTGCCTGCCTGTCACCACCACAGCTGCTTAAAAACATCAAGAGGAGCGAGGAAAGGGTTCCGCGTGACAATGCACAATCATAACAACATTCACTTGCGCGCGCATACTCCTCCCCTCCCCCCCTTGCACCCCTGCCTGCCTGCCTGCCTTTCATCCACCACAGCTGCTGCAAAACATCAAGAGAAGCGAGGCACGTGTACCGCGCGACATTGCTGCAACTCTTTCGGACGACTGTCTCGGGCTCATCCGCTCTCTGCTCAAGCGGAACCCCGGTGAGTGATTCACTTTGGTTTTTCAACTTCAACCACATCGTGTTGCATTGCAAGTAGATTGCAGGCAAGAGTCACAGGTGAGGCGCTGCAGGGTGTTTTTCAGAATTCTCAAAACATCCTTCAACCACGTCATGCTGCACGTAGATTGCAGGCAAGAGTCATGGGTGAGGCGAGGGTACCGTGTCACGTGGCGAGGGCACCGTGTCACGTGGCGAGGGCACCGTGTCACGTGGCGAGGGTACCGTGTCACGTGGCGAGGGTACCGTGTCACGTGGCGAGGGTACCGTGTCACGTGGCGAGGGTACCGTGTCACGTGGCGAGGGTACCCTGTCACGTGGCGAGGGTACCCTGTCACGTGGCGAGGGTACCCTGTCACGTGGCGAGGGTACCCTGTCACGTGGCGAGGGTACCCTGTCACGTGGCGAGGGTACCCTGTCACGTGGCGAGGGTACCCTGTCACGTGGCGAGGGTACCCTGTCACGTGACGAGGGTACCCTGTCACGTGGCGAGGGTACCCTGTCACGTGGCGAGGGTACCCTGTCACGTGGCGAGGGTACCCTGTCACGTGGCGAGGGTACCCTGTCACGTGGCGAGGGTACCCTGTCACGTGGCGAGGGTACCCTGTCACGTGGCACCCGACCCGGATGGTACCCTGTCACGTGGCACCCGACCCGGATGGTACCCTGTCACGGTTCCCCACCCGGATGGTACCCTGTCACGTGGCATTGCTGTAATTCTCTCCAATGACTGTTTCAGGCTAATCCGCTCTCTGCTCAAACGGGAACCCGGGTGAATTCAAACATGATAATAACCGAAGCGCCTGAAATGCCTTCGCTGCCAGAAATAGTCCGTTTTTCTGTGTGTGAAAGTCCCTGCGTTGTAAGAGTTTCCGTTTTTGTAGATATATATATATATATATATATATATATATATATATATATATTTTTTTTAATCTCTCTTGGTACTGTGAAATCTCGTCCTTCCCCCTGTTACTCTTTGCCGCACAGTGGAGCGGCTGTCATTTGAACAGTTCTTCAATCATCCTTTCCTTGGCTTAGCAAGGTACGCATGGGGGAAGGGGGGTAATGGGGGGAAAGGAGGGAATGAGGAGAAGGGGGGGAATGGGGGGATGGGGGGGGAGAGGGAGGTTGTTTGGTTTTTCTTGAGCTATATGAGGACTTGTCCCACCCACGTGCTGCTGCTGCGCCAGGTCGAGTATTCCTAGCAATCCTATTAAGGCGTCTCGATGGTCGCATTTTCTTATCTTAGCAATCCTCTCTCCCCTCCTCCGCCTTTTCCCCTCTCCCCTCCTCCGCCTTTTCCTCTCTCCCCATCCTTCTCGTCCCCCTTGTAAATCCTTCCCTCCCCCTTTTCCTCCCTCCCCTCCTCCGCCTCCCCCCCCCCCCTCTCGCTGCATGCTCACACATCAGTTCTCCTAAGTCTATCTGGCAACCACCAGCCTCCTTCACCAACCCAGCTACCGTCTGAGGCGCCTCAAAAGCCCCCCCCCCCCCCCTCTCTCCCTCCCTCCCTTCCCTGCATGCTCACACATCAGTTCCCCTCAGTCTATCTGGCAACCACCAGCCTCCTTCACCAACCCAGCTGCTCAGACCGAACCACCGCCACTCCGTACCGAACCTCCGCCACTTCGTACCGAGCCTCCACCGTTCCCTGCCGAACCTCCATCATCCTCCCCCGAACCTCCGGCTCCACCACAGAGTTCCAGGCCTCCCGCAGCTGTTTCTGCCCCTACAACCCCTGCCACCACCCCTTCGGCTCCTGCTGCTTCTCCTGGTGCAGGGGGGGTTGCGCCTGCTCCTCCAACCTCCCCCTCCTTTACTCCCCTACCTCATACCCCCCTGCCTCCCCCCTCCCTTACTACCCCTGCCCCTGTTCCCCCGTTTCCCCCTCCCCTTAACCCCCCTGCCCTGCCTGCCCCCTGCGCTACCCCTCTGTCCGCCCCGCCTTCGCCCCCATATCGCTCCGCTTCCCCACACCTTCCCCCTGGGCCCTCGTTTCCTGCTGATTCTAACCCTGTTTCAGCTGCCACTGTAAATAGTGACATGTCTGGTGCTGTTAGGGGGGATTCTTATAAGGAGGATAGTGATCCCTGGGGTGTGGTTGCTGTAGGTGGTGGCAGCGGAGGAGGCGGAGGAGGGAGTGGGCGAGGAGGAGGCGGCAGAGGGAGTGGGAGAGGGGAAGGGAGTGAGGGCAGGGCAGGGGGAGAGGGAGAGGGTGAGATAGGCAGAGGGGAAGAGAGAGGAGGAAGGGATGGTTTCATTGCTGCACCTGCAGCAGAAGCAGCAGCAGCAACTGCAGCAGCAGCAAGTTCAGCAGCTGCAGCAGTGGCAGCAGGGGGACCAACACTACCAACAGCAGCAGCAGCAGCGGCAGAAGCAGCAACAGCAGCAGGAGAAGCATCACCAGCAGAAGCAGCACAGAGTGCGGCACCAATTTGGGTCCCTGCTTTCCCACCACCTGCCGTTGTCTCTTCTCCTGCCCGACCCGCTCTTTTGCCTGCTCGTGCTGTCACTGCATATGAGGTTCGTCCTCTGTCCAGCCAGCATGCCAAGTTCCAGCAACAACAGGGACAGCAGCAGCAGCGTCAGAATCACTCAGCCCTTGTGTCGAAACCAGAGAGGGGAGTAGAGGCAGCAGCAGCAGCAGGAGCAGGAGCAGGAGCAGGAGCAGGAGCAGGAGCAGGAGCAGCAGCAGAGGCTGTACTACCCCCAGCAGCAGAGACAACTGTGCAAGCCACACTGGCCGGACCATCGCTGGCAGCAACGGTACCGCTCTCAGTGGCAGTGGCGCCGTCCCCAGCACCACCGTTGGTGCCTGCACCGCTGCTCCCTGCAGGGGATGAAAGAGGTGCGTGTGGCAGTGAATTTTGAGATGTTTCAAATTATTGCTGGCAGCAATGGTACCACTGTCAGTAGCAGTGGCACCGTCGCCAGCACCACCGTTGGTGCCTGCATCGTTGGCCCCAGCAGGAGATGAAAGAGGTGCATGCAGCAATGCCCCTTGATGCATGCAGCGTGCAGCAGTGTCCTTTGATGCGCTATTTCCCTTCCTTTTTAAGGTGTGAGCCTCTCTGCCCCTTCAGTGAACGGGACGCGATGCCGGATGTACCATTTCTTCTCCTCCCCAGCTATGTACCATTACTTTTATTTCTCCTCCGCACTTGCCTCTTTTCCTTCGAGCATCCAGAACGCAGTTTCCCAGGAGCATCCATCTTGGTTGATACATCTCGTTAGACATGGGCTACGGACAGTCGAGTAAAACTCGACTCGGTCTGGGCCAAAACTCGACCGAGTTCGAGCTCGAGTCGGGTGAAACCCGGACGAGTTTTTTTGCCAAGGTTCAGGACTCGAGACTCGACTGTATAAGGGCGAGTTTTTTAAAACTCGACCGGCGCTATTCATACGCTTGGTCGAGTCCTAGTTAAACTCGGCTCGGCGGGGGGGAGGGGGGGGGGACACACCATAGAAAAGAAAAGTGAGACCTGAGGCTTATTTTCGTGCATGGTTTTTTGTTGTATACCCTATATTATTGTACGCCTGCGACGCTGTGTAGCCGTCTCCACCTGGTCTTCCCCCCCCCTCCTCCCGCATGATCGCCACGGTGGGTTCCTCCCGCCCCCGCTTTCCCGCCGTTGGTGTTCTTACTTGTCAGCTGCTTGAATTTCGCCATGCTAAATCAGTAGATTGACCGTTACATTATTAAATAGTAGCGTTTCCTCCTCCCCAAACCCTAATCGAAACCAACCATACAATAAAACCGCGACCCTAACTAAGCGTAAACCTAGATCTACGTTGCCCCTGAACCGATCTTAAGTTTAAGAAGAAAAAACAGCCGGGCGTTTGACTGGTTTGGCTCTGGAAACTACGGACGACATGTCGAGGAAGGTGACTGACTGAAATCGAGATCTGAAAATGGACCCGCAAAACTTCGACTTTCGAAATTTGTATGCCCACCCCACCCCAATGTCGCGACGAGTTTTTCGTAAACTCGCCGAGTCCAGAAAACTCGACGTGTCTGGAAAAAACTCGACATGGGGCCCGAGCTTGGACCGAGTTTTTTAAAAACTCAGCAGGTAAAACTCGACTCGGTCTGGTCGAGTTTTTTCAACGGGTCTTTGCACTCGACACTCGACCAGTAACGAGTCCCCCGATCGAGTCGAGCTTGGAAACTCGACTCTTTGCCCATGTCTACATCTCGTGGATGTTGGAGATGCTCCAAGGAGACTACGTGGTTGTGGACCATACCATCCATCTGAACCCTCTCTGTCCCTTAACTGAACGGGACGTGAGACCCTCTCTGACCATCCCTTTCTCCTCTGGCAAGTCGTGAATGGTGCCATCCCTTCTCCTCCGGCAAGTCGTGAATGGTACCATCCCTTCTCCTCCGGCAAGTCGTGAATGGTACCATCCCTTCTCCTCCGGACTTGCCACTTTTACTTCGAGCATCACTTGAAGTGAAACGACGACGCCATATGTGTTTTGTCCTCTGCACTTGCCTCTCACCCTTACTCCCAGGAGGCACGGACTCGTTCGAGATGCTTGAAGGGGACTACGTCGTCGTGGACCACCCATCCGAACCCTCTCTGTCCGCCGATCAATCAGCCTCTGCCAACCCATCTCTCAGCCAGTCGAGCCAACATCAACAAGTGAAGGCAGCAGGCTCTGCCTCGGCATTCCCTGCTGCTGCAGCAGCTGCACTGTCAGCTGTTGTAGGGGCAGTGGGGGCTGCAGCTGCTGCTGCTGCTGCTACAGCTGGTTCCTCGGCCCACCCGATTGCTTCAGCCCGGGTTCCCACAGCTGGTGCTACTGCTTATGCTGTTACAACTCCTGCTGCTGCAGCTGCTACATCTGGTACAGGTGCTGCTGCTGCTACAGCCGTTGCTACAGCCTCTGGTGCTGTTGCCGGCAGCCCGTTAATTCCACCCGTAGAATCCCCACCGTTTTTCCCCCTGCCTCCTAACCACCTCCTCCCTACGTCTGCAGCTCCTGTAAATAATCCTGCACGTGTACAGTCACTCTCAGTAGAGTCACACCATGTACAGTCACATTCGTTACAGTCACAACCTGTACAGCCACATTCGTTACAGACACCATCTGTACAGTCACAAGTGGTAGTATCAGCAGCACCTGCGCCTCTAGTGCAAGTGAGTGGTTTCTGTCCCAAGGTCTGTACAGGAGGGTACACCAAGGCAGCAGACACACCACCAGTTACTGGAACCACTGCTCCACCGTTTTCCACCCTGCTGTCTTCCACCCCACCGTTTTCAAACACTACCGTTACCACTAACAACTCTTCAGCAGCCGCCGCACCATCCGCCTCTGCACCATCCCCCACCACCGCACCATCTCCCAGTTTACCCCCCCCGACTGCACCAGCACCATCCCACGCTCGTTCCGGCTTGGCTCTGGCTGTTAGCCTCGGCACGCCCCGCACAGGTTCTCTGGCCAGACCTGCTCCTGGTAGCCTCGGCAGCGATGTGGGTGCAGGTGTGGGTGTGAGTGTGAGTGCTGCATCATCATTGAGTGCAGCAGGTTTGCCTGCTGGAGGGGAGCCGGACAGAGGCGGACTGATGCAGAATGAACAGCAGAAAGGACAGACACAGCAGCAGATGCAGATTCAACAGCAGGAGCAGCAGGTGTTTCAGCAGCATCCTCAGGAGCGGATTGCCTTCCTCAGACAAAGCGGGCGTTACATTGCAGAAATTGCTGCTAGCAAGGTGAGTGAGTGGTGCTAGTAAAGTTAGTGCACTGACTTTTGGATCCACCCAGTGGTCACCCTGTTCGTTACATTGGCAGTCCGACGCACTGCATTGCAGAGTTCTCTCTTTGCTTGTAACGCGAGTGGAGTGCAGTGAGTTTCTAGAACCTGAAAGCTCTCAGCCTTTCCCCGTGTTGTTGCCACAATTGCGACGTTCGAATCATGGCTCTATGTAAGAAATAAAACTTTTCTGTACAATGGTTTTTTTCTTTCTTTCTTTCTTTCTTTTCTTTTCTTTTCTTTTTTTTGTTTTCCCCGTTTACTTACCTCTTCGCATATCAGTTGGAAACAAGTACCAGCAGTGCCGCTCTCCCCGCTCTTGTTGCTCTCGCGGTGTGGAAAGAGTTTCGCACCCGTCTCTACCACGCGCTCCTCCTTTTGATAACTCCCTTCTACTCTGATTGTCTTCCCATTTTTCCCCGTGTCAGCTGGAAGCAGCAGCACCACTCTCCTTGCGAGTGATTTTTTAGAATTCTCAAGAAGCAGCAGCACCACTCTCCACCTTGTTGCTCTTGCAGTGTGGAAAGAGGCCCTCACACTCTCCCACCAGTGCGCCTCTCCTGTTCTGATATTTCCCCTTTCCCCTTGTTGCCTTGCTGTGTTTTATCTTGTGTTTCCATCGTTCCCCCTCTTCAGCTGGAAGCAGCAGCACCGCTCGCCTCGCTCTCCGTCCACCTCGTTGCACTCGCGGTGGGGTGGGGAAAGAGGCTCTCACGCTCTCCCATGCCTGTGCCTCTCCTCCCACCTCCCATCGTTCCCCCTCTTCAGCTGGAAGCAGCAGCACCGCTCGGCTCGCTCTCCCTCCACCTGGTCGCTCTCGCGGTGTGGAAAGAGGCTCTCACGCTCTCCCACGAATGGGCTGCCACCAGTGCCACTAGCACCACCAATGCCACCATTGATACCTATAACGGTGGTGCTCATAGTGGTGATGCTTATAACGGGGGTGCTTCTAGTGGTTCTGGTGGAATGATCCCGTTGCGCAGGAGCAGCAGCGTGGGGGGGCATGGAGGCAGCATGGGGGGACATGGGGGCAGCATGGGGGGACATGGGGGCAGCATTGGCGCCCATGGGGGCAGCATTGGCGCCCATGGGGGCAGCATGGGCGCTCATGGGAGCGGGGAGGAGGCAGCAGCAGCAATGGCGTGTGACTTGGTGGAAGCAGAGTTCCTGGCGGCTGTTGAAACAGCAGAGACCGTTGCTGCTGCTGTTGACAGGGACGGTGAGTGCGACATAAGGAAAGAAGTGGGAAAGAAGGTCATGTCATACAGTATAGGTAAGTGGGCAGCAGCAGCGGTGGCGTGTGACTTGGTGGAAGCAGAGTTCCTTGCAGCTGTTGAGACAGCAGAAATTGTTGCTGCTGCTGTTGACAGGGATGGTGAGTGCGGTACGGATGGGTGGATGGGATTGATGAGGTGTGGTATACCGTATAGGTAAGAAGAGGAAGCAGCAGCAGCGATGGTGTGTGATTTGGTGGAAGCAGAGTTCCTGGCAGCTGTTGAAACAGCAGAGATGGTTGCCGCTGTTGTTGACAGGGACGGTGAGTGCGGTATGGGGAGAGACCGTGGGAAATAATGACTTTCTACTGCACTGTCTCTCCCCATACTACTGCACTGTCTCTCCCCATACTACTGCACTGCATAGGTAAGTAGAATGTCATTATTTCCCACGGTCTCTCCCCATACCGCCTCTGCTTCCCCATACCGCCTCTGCTTCCCCATACCGCCTCTGCTTCTACCAATCCCATCCATACATACTACTGTACTGCATAGGTAAGCAGAGCAGCGATGGCATGCGACTTGGTAGAAGCAGAGTTTGTTGCAGCTGTGGAGACAGCAGAGGCGGTTGCTGCTGCTGTTGACAGGGATGGTGAGTACGGTACAGGTGGATGGATGGGATTGGTGATGTGTTTGTGGTGTAGGTAAGAAGAGAGGGAGGCAGCGGCAGCAATGCCATGTGACTTGGTGAAAGCAGACCTCCTGGCAGCTGTTGAAACGGCAGAGACGGATAGCTCTGCTACACAGAGGCTAAACAGCACCTCAGTGAGACATATCTGTTTCCCCCCTCTCAACCTTCCCCCCACCATCACAGACCCATCACCTGTGCCCGATGCTCTGGAGATGGTCTATCAGACTGCCCTCATCGCTGGTCGCTCTGCTAAACAGAGCCTAAGCAGCATCTCAGTGCACCTGTCTGCCGCCTCCCCTCCTCCTCTCCTCCCACCATCACAGACCCATCACCCGTGCCTGATGCTCTGGAGATGGTCTATCAGACTGCCCTCATCGCTGGTCGCTCTGCTGCTGTGAGTTCCCCTTCCCACTTCCCTGACTGTCCCCAATGTGTCTTTTTCCTGCCTCTATGTCTCTTCTGTTTTCTCGTTTCGTATTGGGCTACACAGCATCCGCAGCATGCCAGCAGCGCATATACAACCCCCCCTGCTTCATTTTTTGCTGCTTCCTTTCCATCGCTCTTCTCAGGTGGAGGAGTTGATGGGAAACATGGCATCAGCAGCAACAGCTTATGCGCGTTCAGCCACGCTCTTCATTCCACTGTGTTGTTTTCCTCTCCCCGCTCTCATTCTCACCTTTCCCCTCTCAGGTGGAGGAGTTGATGGGAAACATGGCATCAGCAGCAGCAGCCTATGTGTGTTCTGAGTCGACTCAAAGCTCTCTTCCCCTGTTCTTCCTCTGTATTTTCACCTCTCCCTCTCAGGTGGAGGAGTTGATGGGAAACATGGCGTCAGCAGCAGCAGCCTATGCGCGCTCAGCCACGCTCTTCGCCTTCCTCCTGCACCTCGCACCTCACCACCCCACATTGAACTTCACTACTCTCGTTCCCTCATTTTGATCCTCCCTCTCTCCCGTCTCCCTCTCGCAGGTGGAGGAGCTGATGGGAAACATGGCGTCGGCAGCAGCAGCCTATGCGCGCTCAGCCACGCTCTTCGCCTTCCTCCTACACCTCGCACCTCACCACCCCACATTGAACTTCACTACTCTCGTTCCCTCATTTTGATCCTCCCTCTCTCCCGTCTCCCTCTCGCAGGTGGAGGAGCTGATGGGAAACATGGCGTCGGCAGCAGCAGCCTATGCGCGCTCAGCCACGCTCTTCGCCTTCCTCCTACACCTCGCACCTCACCACCCCACATTGAACTTCACTACTCTCGTTCCCTCATTTTGATCCTCCCTCTCTCCCGTCTCCCTCTCGCAGGTGGAGGAGCTGATGGGAAACATGGCGTCGGCAGCAGCAGCCTATGCGCGCTCAGCCACGCTCTTCGCCTTCCTCCTACACCTTGCACCTCACCACCCCACATTGAACTTCACTACTCTCGTTCCCTCATTTTGATCCTCCCTCTCTCCCGTCTCCTTCTCGCAGGTTGAGGAGCTGATGGGAAACATGGCGTCGGCAGCAGCAGCCTATGCTCGCTCAGCCACGCTCTTCGCCTTCCTCCTGCACCTCGCCCCTCGCCTCCCCATCTCCCCGCCCCTCCGCCTTTCCCCTGCCGACCGCCACCGCCTCACCAAGTACCATGATGGGGTGTTGGCCCGTCAGACACACTGCTCTGCTGCGCTGCACTGCTGATTGCTAAATAGGCTAGCACCCTAGCATTTCTAACTACAAGCACTGCACTACACTGCTGTATTGTATTCTCCTCCACGTGATTGAAGAAGTGTTTTGAGACGTCTCAAAACAATGATTGCTAATAGGCTAGCAGCCTAGCATTCCTTACTACAAGCACTGCACTAGACTGCTGTATTCTTCTCCTGCTCCTCGCCCCGCACCTCCCCATCTCCCCTCCCCTCCTCTCCCCTGCCGACCGCCACCGCCTCACCAAGTAGTACTTGGCAAGTACCATGACGGGGTGCTGGCTCGCCAGAAACACTGCTCTGCTGCACTGCACTGCTGACCCCGCCCCCCCTCTTCCTCCACCCTCATCCCTTCCCTCTTACCACAAGCACTGCTCGGCTGTTCTCTTCTCCTCCCTCCTGCCTTTCGCTCAGCACCGCCTCTCCTCCCCTCCCTTGCCGACCTTCTCCTCTCCCCTTTCGCTCACCTCTTCTCCTCCCCTCACCAAGTACCATGACGGGGTGCTGGCCCGCCACAAGCACTGCTCTGCACTGCTGACAACACCCCCTCCCCCCCCCCCCCCCCCCCCCCCCCCCCCCCCCCCCCCCCCCCCCCCCCCCCCCCCTCTCTCTCCCTCGTCTCCTCCTCCCCTGCTTCTCCCCCGTACACCCCCTAACCGCAAGCACTCTACTGCTGTCCTCTTTCCCCTCCTTCGTGCACCTCGCTCCACGCCCCCTCTCCGCCTCTCCCCTGCCGACCACCACCACCTGGCGAAGTTTCACAACAGGGTGCTGGCCCGCCAGGAGCACTGCAGTGCTGCGCTGCACTGCTGACCCAGGCCAGGCTAGCACCCCTTGAATGCTGCCCTCTACTCTCTCCCCTGCCGACCGCCACCACCTTGCCAAGTTTCACAACGGGGTGCTGGCCCGCCAGCAGAAGCACTGCTCTGCAGCCCTTTTCTAATATCTCTCCGCCTGCCCACGACCACTGCACTGCAATCACTACACTTTGTGTAACAAACATTCTGAGGCACCCCAAAAGCAATGGCGACAGACACTTTCTAGTCGGAAAATGGAAATATTCCAAAACACTAGGCATCTTGAATGGGACTGTAGCTACCGTACCAGCAACTTTTAGAGCTGAGCTAATCCCATCCCACCGCACCGCAATCACAACAGTGCAGTTGGCAACTTGGCAGACGAAACAAATCATTCATGGTTTATTAATTATTTCTTTGCAGTCTAGAGTTCCAGAATTTTGTTCCAACACTTAGCTAAGTCCCACCAGTGGCTGGTGCTGCTTCAACAGCCGCAGATTGAGCACGGAGAGCTTCCTGGATCCTTCCTTTCCATACCAACCCCACATCAGAATTCAGTTTCTTTTCCGGCGTGTGCAGAAGATACTCGTCGATGCCGCCCACCTTGTCTATGCACCGAAGGGCATACGTGGTAACCCGGAACTGGATGAATTTGTCCAGGGCGAAGCTGTAGAGGCGCTTGTACTGCACGTTTGGCTTCCACATGCGCCGTGTTCTGTGCGGTGTGGACGGGAACGGGGGGGAGAAGAGGGGTGGGGCGGGACACAAAAAAGGAAGAGGGGAGTGTAAGCGGAAGATACTCGTCGATGCCGCCCACCTTGACTATGCAGCGGGGGGCGTACGTGGTAACGCGGGTACTGGATGAATCTGTCCAGGGCGAAGCTGTAGAGGCGCTTGTACTGCACGTTGGGCTTCCACATGCGCCGTGTTCTGTGCGGTTTGAAAGGGGAGGGGTGGTGAGTGGTGGGGGCAGGAAGAGGGGAAAGAGGTCAGGGTGAATGATGTGGCAGCACCGAATGCAAGGGATCGGTCGAGGGCGAAGCTGTAGAGGCGCTTGTACTGCACGTTGGGTTTCCACATACGCCGCGTTCTGCCCATAGTTTGGGAGAGTGGGGTTGGGTTGGGAGGGCGTGGGGGAGAGGGAAGCGAGGGAAGGGAGAGACGGGAGGGTGAGAGTGGGAAACAATGTGACAGCACAGCACGCATTTCGATGACAGTATCAAGGTGAATCTGTGAGGACGTTTGTTCTGCCGGCTACAGGGATAAAGGGATGATGGGAGTGGTACCATGGAGAAGTGAGACAAGAGACCGTGCACTGGTCCAGATAGGAAGAGGGGATCAGTAGGCAGGGGAGGGCGAGGAGACGAGGAACAAATCCGGCAGTACTTGACCTGAGAGAAGGCTTAAAAGTACTGGACTAGGATGAGAACACCAGAAGTACACAATCCGGCAGTACTTGACCTGAGAGAAAGCTTAAAAGTACTGGACTAGGATGAGAACACCAGAAGTACACAATCCGGCAGTACTTGACCTGAGAGAAAGCTTAAAAGTACTGGACTAGGATGAGAACACCAGAAGTACACAATCCGGCAGTACTTGACCTGAGAGAAAGCTTAAAAGTACTGGACTTTTACTAAGGATGTGAACACCAGAAGTACACAATCCGGCAGTACACGACCTGGCAGGCAGTACACGACCTGGCAGGCAGTACACGACCTGGCAGTACACGACCTGGCAGTACACGACCAGGCAGTACACGACCAGGCACTAAACAACTCACGGTACCCTGGGCAGTACAAGTCACTTTTGAGAATTCTCAAGAGTAACCTGCCCAGTGAAGTCTTATAGTTGAAGGAAGTGCGGAAGTCAGCAAAGGCAGGTGCAGACGGAGCGACCAAGGTTCTCAAAAGTCGCACGAATATAGCAGGTGCAGACGGAGCGACCAAGGTTCTCAAAAGTCGCACGAATATAGCAGGTGCAGACGGAGCGACCAAGGACGTGGTGTGCTGCCAAGTAGAACATCATCTGATGCATTTGTTGCCTCCGCATTCGTTGCCTTTGTTCCCGATGCGATTTTTGAGAATTCCAAAAAACTCATGCAGGTTCAGACGGAATGACCAAGGACGTACTGTGCTGCCAGCCAAGTATAACACTGACTGATGCATTTGTTGCCTCCCCGTTCGCTGCTTTTGTTCCCGAACTCGACCCGTCCCTGTCAGCGACGGAATACCTTCGTTCCCAACCTTAACCTCTCCCTGGTGTGCAGAATAAACGGTTTACTTACTCATTCCCCTAAACGGTTGACTTACTCATTCCCTCCGTCCTCGCTAGCTTTCTTGGAGAACCGTTGGTTTTCTAGAATTCCCTAAAACGCTAGCTAAAGTCAACTGGGTCATGTACTGTCGATTTTGACATATTCCCTGACACACTAGGTGGGATCCTCGCAAAATCTGTTGCCGAACTTGACCCCCTTGCCCGCGAACAGCCCTTGACACACTCTAGAGAGATTCCTGAGTCTTAATAGTTGACTTGTCTCCGACTTACTTGTTCCCGCCGTCCTCGCTGACTTTGTTGCCGAATTTCACCTCCTTGCCGGCGAACAGCCCTCGCCGCGCGCGTCGCATGACGGCGCGGCCCACTAGCTCCAACCCTAACGGCATTGCTTCCGTGCCGAGCCAAGCGCGCAGCGGCGGGAAGAGAGAGTATGTGTACAGGCGCTCCCTTGGCTAAAGAAAGCACGGAGGGTTGATTAGCTGCGGAACGCACGCAGGTTCGGTATCGAAACAGGTGCTTTAATAGGAAAGGAGGCTGGATTATGCACGCCAATGCAGATGACCTACGGCGGAAGTTTAAGTTGTTGATGGCACGCGTGCGGCATCTGACAACACGCCGCGGAATCAGCTAAAGCACCGCCTGAATGAATTAGGAGGCAGTACGATCCTTCCTGTTGCTCATCCAGGATAGTACTTTAGGTTGCCTGATAATATTTAAAGGAGCTAGATATGGCGCTGTACAGACACCTTTGCAAAGTCGGGTGCCGTAGTAGCGAAGATTTGTGTGTTTTGTGAAGAAATAATTTGTCTTGCCATGAGTCGGTGACATAAAGGATGAAGAAGCGAAGCTCCCGTTGGTCAAAATAGCAACGATATTCGATCAGCAATCTAGAAGTTCGATTTCAGACCAGAGCTTGCGCCACTAGTGAAGCAAGCCCCTACAGTGGTCTCCGAGGAGAATTTTTTCCCGACCCGATGGAAGTGTACCGTGGGTGTCGCTTTGCAGCTGGGAATACACTTCTATTCCTTAGGACGCGGTAAAAGTGGAGAATCGATCGCCTCAGATTCATTTTTTAGCACGGTTATAAACGGTTGTGTATCTTTTGTATACAAAACACGAGGTTTCAGTGCGGTGACCGGATCGATTTCCCCCCGAACGAACACTTTTACCGCGTCCTTAGAAATTCATGACTGAATTGTTTTGTGATGTGCTACTGTAAGGAAAATTCCTTTTCCTTACTTCGCATCCCTACTCAACGCGTACATCACTATAGCACCACAGTTAGCACCGTTACCACTCGCAATCCTCGCATCGACAATCCGCCCGCCACCTTCGCACGTCGCACCCCGACCTCACGGCTCGGCGGGTAACCCGCGCTCCGGGCCTCCGCTTCAACACTTTTCCCAACCTCAGTCCCAGGCCCGTCGCGCGACAACCACAGTCCATTACCGTTACCACTGTAGTTTCGCTATATATTCTTCGCTCATTGTACTCTTGCTTCGATAGTGCAATTCTCGTTCGTTCACTCAATTGCACTCGTAACACTTGGTATTCAGAGCCTACGATCTCCTCTCGGTCCGCACCCAAACCTTCGCTTCCCCACTATCTCAATTTTTTGGGGGGGTAGACGTCCCTCAGCGACACAGCACCGCCGCTCGTAGTGCTCTCTCGTAAGCACGCACGGCCACGACCGAGGCTCTCGCTGAGCTCGCCCGACACCCCCGCCATGGCCGAATTCACGCTCGCCACATTGACGCATGAGCAGCTTGACCGTCTGGTGCGCCAACTTGAAGATTCGGCGCTCGAAATTGCGACGCTCACGGCAGAACGTGACTCCGCACGTTAGCAATCCACGGTGAACATTCCAGCGCCACCACACGCACCGACAAATGCATCTGCACAATCGGACGAGCCAATCGTCATTTTGTCCGGCACACCAACGCAACACGACAGCGTGGGACAACGCTCAGGCGCAGCCAGTGACGGCGCCGCCCAGCCGATGCCTGGCATGGGAGGAAACAAGGTCGCACCAAGCCCGCGGGAGCCTCGTGAAGCCCGTCGGCACGTGGAGTTCGCGACGACAAGTGGCGAACAGGCCATTATGGCACCCATGCCACTCAAGCCGCAACGCCCGCCCTGCTTCGACCCAAGCCAACGTAGAGGTCCGACGGTTCAATCGGGGGTTTTCACGATAAATGTCTTCTTCGACGCGAATTACGTCGAGTCGGACGCAACGAAGATTCGGTATGCCGTTTCACTATTAAGGGGCCCCACCATGGACTGGTGGCGAGTCATCGTGACGTCGCCACGCGCATACGAGCCACCGTCGCAAGAGGAAGGGCCCACGGGCCCAGCTGTTACCTGAAGTTCATTCTACAAGACCGCCCAATACAGCACGTGGGATGCGTGGTGCGCAGGGCTTCGGGCGCGCTTCGAGCCGATCGCGGCTTCTATTTCGGCGCGTCAGAGATTGCGCACTTGGCAGCAGCTTGGGACGGTTCAAGATTACACGAGCAGTTTTCTCGCACTTTGCGAGCAGGTCGGCTACATGCACGAAGCGGAGCGGATGGACCGTTACGTCGGAGGGTTGAAGCCGGATATCTCACACAAAATCATGCTGAGTGGACTCTCAAACTTTAACGAGATTCTCGCGCTCACCGAGAAAATCGACATTCTACGCCGACCGAGACCGGGGTCCTACTATGGACATCGTCCTCGGGGACCGATCGAGCACACCACTGTAAACGCTGTTGCAACGAATGCAGCTGCTGCACCGTTTAAGGGGCGCTGCTCTGCTTGCAACAGGCTGGGCCATCGCAAGAGCGAATGCCCAGAGGAGCTAAGGCGTCGCGGGGTAGAGCAGGGGGAGAAGTCCCAGAGGCAGGGAAACGCCAGCAGTCAGTAGAAGTTGGGCCAACTACTGACGAGACTGCCTGCTCGCCCTGTGAGAATAAGTGAACAGGAATGGAATGACTAAGGAAAGATTGGGTACAAATACAACCCTAGAAACCCTGTACCCCATATGTGCTACCCCACTATAGCCTACAGCAACTATGTCATATAAATCTGACACGCCCAACCGCACCGACCCTCACCGAGTCACAGTACCGATTCACGCCATCGATCGGGCTCGGATGAATAAGGACGGTACAACGACGGATTGCCCAGTACTGATCCACGGGAAAATACAGGGAGCAGCAGTGAAGATTTTTATCGACGGAGGAGCAAGCCACAAATTTGTTAATACTGCAACCGCACGAAAACTACAACTGAGACTTAGCCGTTGCTTACCGGAGATAGACGCACGCTTAGTCAACGGCACGCCACTGGCCATATGGGAAAAGGTTAGAGCGAGTCAAAGTCCGTTGCGGAAGAAATTTCGGGTTTACATAGGAAATGCTCGCAACGACACTGGATGGGCACGATATTTTACAGGGGCGTGATTGGCTGCGACGGTATAACCCACGAATTGACTGGACGACGGGTAGCTGCACCGTGCGAAGTAGTGGTAACTAGGTCGAGCTACCTCGCTGGCAGTCGCCCGAGTCTTCAACGGTCCACGTCAACGCCATCACGATGAAACGGGTTGTCGCCGTTGGAGCTGACGCGTACGTAATAGATATAGCATTAGTGGGAGAAGCGGAGCAGCCGAGCGATTTTCAGAAACTGTTGGCAGCAGTACCGCCCGAACTACATGAACTGTTGAAACGGTACCTGGGGATCTTTCTAGACGACTTACCAGAAGGGCTGCCACCTCAGCGGGCGCATGATCATAGGATCGAGTTAGAACCGGGGGCACAGCCAACTGTACAGCGCCAGTTCAGACTGACACAGCCCGAGCTCGACGAACTAAGGAAGCAGTTAGATTATTTGTTATAGAAGCAGTTCATTCGACCAAGTTCGTCACCGTTCGCCGCACCGATACTGTTCACACCGGAGAAGACGGAGGGTTTTGCATGTGCATGGATTACCGAGCGCTCAACAGGGTAACAGTCAAGTCGCGGTACCCCATTCCCCGCGCCGACGAACTGATCGACCAACTGCGAACAGCACGGTTGTTTTCGAAAATAGACTTACGAGGGGGGTTACCATCAGATTCGGGTCGAACCATCGGACTGCGCCAAGACAGCATTTAGGACTAGGTACGGGTCGTTTGAGTACACGGTGATGCCTTTCGGGCTGACCTACGCGCCCGCAACTTTTCAGATGACCATGAACGAGGCGTTTTGGCCACTCTTAGATAAATGCGTGATAGTTTACCTCGGCGACATCCTTGTCTACAGTCGCGACAAACAGCAACACTTAGCGGATCTCGAAGCAGTATTTAAAGTTTTGGAGGAACATCGATTACTCACCAAGGGCTCTAAGTGCAAGTTTTTTCGGGAGAGACTAGAATTTTTGGGGCACGCTATTTCGGAGGCTGGAGTTGAAATCGACCCAAAGAAGCTGGATACGGTAAAAGCGTGGCGTCCCCCGACGAACATCACGGAACTGCAGAGTTTTTTAGGGTTCGTTAATTATGTTCGTCGTTTCGTCCCTGACATGGCACGATTCACCGCCCCGCTGACGGATTTACTTCGCAAGGGGGTCGTTTTTACGTGGGGGGATAAAGAGCAAGCTGCCTTCTCTGCCCTGAAAAATGTTATCTGTTCACCGCCCGTCCTGCGCATCGCCGACCCACAACGCCCCTTCGAGTTTGTTACGGACGCAAGCGACATCTGCCAGATTTATATGACATAGCTGTTGTAGGCTATAGTGGGGTAGCACATATGGGGTACAGCTTTCTAGGGTTTGTATTTGTACCCAACTTTCACTTAGTCATTGCATTCTCGTTTCTTCTCATGGTATTGAGCAGGTTCCCTTGTGGGAACTGTTCCTAGGGCCCACCAAGTCGATTTATTTTTTCCTGCCCGGAGCGCACTTCGCTTAGGCCCGAGTCGCGCCTCATGTGCCCTCTCTGCCGTCGCGCCCGTCCTAGGCTTCCTTTGGCCCCGTCGCGTCGCCCCTAGCAGCCTCCCTCGCGCCGCGCTTACTCGGCCCGTCGCCGCCCTTCGCGGCCTAACGCCGCCCTACGCGCCCTGTCGCCACCCTCAGCGGCCCGTCGCCGCCCTTGCTCCGCCCGTAACGGCACGCCGCCGACCTCCGCGGCCCCTCGCGCCGCCCTCACCCGCGGCCCTGCCACCTACCTGCGGGCGCGCCACCCTACCAGCGGCCCCGCCGCCCTTACCTGCGGCCCGGCCGCCCTTCCCTGCGGCCCCCGCCACCCTTCGCTGCGGCCCCGCCACCTTGCTGTGGCCCCGTCGCCCTTCGCTGCGGCCTCGCCACCTTACCTGCAACGCCGCCCGCCACCCGTGCTGCCCCAGCCGCTGAGCCGCCAAGCCGCCCAGAAGCCAAGCCGCCCAGCAGCCGAGCCGCCCAGCAGCCGAGCCGCCCAGCAGCCGAGCCGCCCAGCAGCTGAGCCGCCCAGCAGCCGAGCCGCCCGCACCACCGAGTCGCTCAAGCCGCCCTGTCCGGTAAGAGCAGCGCCTCTTTCTCCGCACTGCCCTTACCCTACTGTTTGCGTTGCTAGTCTACTTCTGTCATGGCTACCCCTAGTGTCCTCGCTTTTGACGCTGAGGGTAGGGCCATTGACTTTGACGTTTGGATAGATGACAGGCAGCTTTTCTTATAGTGCGATAGGGCAGACGGACTCTCTCTCTTTAACCTCACCTCCGGTGCCTCTCCTGCCCCTGCTGCTGATGCTGACGCCACTGTTCGCTTACAGTGGGCCACGCGCGATGCTGCTGCACGTCTTGCTGTGCGTCGCTACCTGCCTACCTCTGAGCGTGCGCAATTTAGCCAGTACAAGAGTGCTCAGACCTTGTACGACACTGTAGTTGCACGCTACTCCTCCCCTGCCACTGCTGCACTGAGCCGCCTCATGCTACCGTACCTCTTTCCTGAACTTGCTGCCTTTCCCACAGTCGCTGACCTCATTACGCACCTCCGCACTAGTGACACTCGCTACCGCGCTGCGCTTTCTGCTGAGTTCTGCGCCAAGAACACCCCCACCATGTACATCACTCTCTACTACATAGTCACCCGCCTCCCTGACTCCCTTCGTGTAGTCAGGGACCACTTCCTCTCAGTCTGTCCCACCATTCTCATTGTTGACCTCCTCAAGAAGGCCCTCTTGGAAGCGGAGGAGAGCATAGTCGCTGTAGGAGCCTCTCGTGGTGACCCTCGCACCCCCATCTTTGAGGGGTGTTCCCCCTCCCCCCTTTTGCCCTCTATCGCCTCTGGTGCTGCGGCCGGCCTCGTTGGTCTTGAGTCGGTCGGTGCGCCGTCTACCCCTAGCGGGAGACGTCGCTCTGGCAAGGGCACGGGGGGCAAGGGCACTAGAGGGGCTAGCGGGGGCGGTGGTGGAGGCGGTGGAGGCGGCGGAGGGAGTAGGGGTGGCGGTGGGAGTGGTAGCGGGGGTGGAGGTGTCGGTGGCGGCAGTGGAGGTGGAGGCGGCGGCGGCGGCAGCGGTGAGGGCGGAGGTGGCGGAGGTGGAGGCGGTGGAGGAGGCGGTGGCGGAGGAGGTGGAGGTGGTCGGGGTGGCGCTGCGCAGAGGGCCGGCTCCGGTGGTGGTCAGCGCCAGCAGCAGCAGTGCTCTCGTTACACCCCCCACCCCTCATCAGCTCCGTGAGTGGTACGCTGCACGTCAGCGGGGTGGGGGTACTGATCCGTGCACCTAAGTCCTACGCACCAGCGATCGCGCGGGTGAGCAGTATGGGGGTGCGCACCCCACCCAGCGCTGCTTTGGCCGCCTGACGGACGCTTAGCGTCACCAGTTCTCGGAGGCCACTGAGATCCCCGGCTGGGGTGAGCTATCTAGGGCTGAAGTAGCTATCTTTGAGTTTGACTTTGATGCTATTCTTGCTGCCATGTATGCTGTGACTATTAGTGATCAGGGTGACTATTACCGGTGTTTTCCGCCCGACCCGGGCATTAACCTGCTGCTCTTGGTACTGGTGAGGCTACTGCTCTAGGTGCTAGCGAGGCTGCTGCTCTAGGTGCCAGTGCGTCTGCTTCCTCAGGTGCTGGTGAGTCTGCTCTCTCAGGTACCGCGCCGGCTTCGGCCTCCCTCACTTTCACACATGACTCCGGGGCTTCTCGCTCCTTCTTTCGAGACCGCACCACACTCGCGCCGCTAAGTCGGCCAGTTGCAGTCTCTCTGGCAGACCCCTCAGGGGGTCTTGTCCCTTCTCACTTCTCCACTGTCCTCCCGTGTCCGGCGGCCCCCTCTGGCACCTTGTCTGGTCTTTACCTCCCCTCGTTCTCTACGAACTTGGTGAGTGGTGCTGACCTACAGGATGCGGGGGTTCACCAGTTCACTCCTGCGAGTCATCGGGTGACCCACTGCACGGACGCTCGCTCAGGCCGGCACCTAGCCACGTTTACACGTCGGCCGGGGTCGAGCCTTTACAATCTGACCACTGAGTCTCCTCCTGTCACTACCTCTGGTCAGGTAGCTGTGTCGGGTCAGGTGTTTGCTGCAGCGTCCAGGTCTGGTCCTGGGTCTGCCCTCTGCTCGTGTCACCTCCTGTCTCACGAGACTCTCCTGTGGCACCACCGTCTTGGTCACCCCTCCCTGCTTCGTCTCCGAGGCATGGCCTCCTGTGTCCTTGTCTCTGGTCTTCCCCGGTCCCTCCCTCCCCTTCCTCCGGGGCCTGGCCCCACCTGCGTCCCCTGTGTCGAGGGGCGGCAGCGGGCTGCCCCTCACTCCTCCCTGTTTCCTCCGACAGAGGCCCCGCTGCAGACGCTTCACATGGACGTGTGGGGCCCGGCCCGTGTCCGTGGACAGGGTCACGAGCGCTACTTCCTGCTGGTGGTTGACGACTACTCGCGTTACACCACAGTCTTCCCCTTGCGCAGCAAGGGTGATGTCACTGAGGTGTTGATCGACTGGATCCGCGCAGCTCGTCTCCAGCTCAGGAGGAGCTTCGGCTCGGACTTTCCTGTTCTGCGTCTGCACTCTGACCGAGGTGGAGAGTTCTCCTCTGGCCTTCTGCGAGCCTACTGTCGTGCGCGAGGCATCCGCCAGACCTTTACGCTTCCGGACCCTCCACAGCAAAATGGGATTGCTGAGCGCCGCATTAGCATGGTCATGGACGTCGCCCGTACGTCCATGATGCATGCGGCTGCCCCCCATTTTCTGTGGCCGTTTGCGGTTCGGTACGCGGCGCATCAGATCAACCTTCACCCCAGGGTCTCCATGCCGGAGACCTCCCCAGCTTTGCTGTGGACGGGGAAGGTTGGCGATGCGTCTGCGTTCCGTGTCTGGGGATCCCGGGCGTTTGTCCGCGACTTGTCTGCGGACAAACTGTCCCCTCGTGCTGTTCCCTGCGTCTTCCTTGGCTTCCCCCCTGACGCGCCAATTCTACCACCCTACCTCTCGCCGTGTTCTGTCCTCCCAGGACGTCATGTTTGACGAGTCGGTCCCCTACTACCGTCTCTTCCCCTACCGCACTCAGTCCCTCCCCCCACCACCGCTCTTCCTTGTACCAGGTCCCCCCCCGATAGACCCCCTCCCCCCTCAGGGTCCTGCCCCTTCAAGTGTGTCCCAGGTAGAGGCGGTCGAGCCTGTGGAGGTTACTGGTGACTCTGGGGGTGCTGAGCCTGGGGGTGCTGACTCTGGGGGTGCTGAGCATGTCGGTGCTACGCCTGGGGGTGCTGAGCCTTGGGGTGCTACGCCTGGGGGTGCTGAGCCTGGGGGCGTTGAGCCTGGGGGTGCCACGTCTGGAGCTGCTGAGCCTGGGGGTGCGGAGCCTGCTGGTGCTGGGCCTGCTCGTGTGGCGTCTGGCGGTGCTGGGCCTGTAGGTTCTCCGGGTGCTTCGTCTGGGCGGGAGCTACTCTATCCGCAGGAGCTACGCGAGTGGTTTGCCCGGCGCTGGAGGCGTGCTGCTGGAGCTGGTACTTCTTCGGCTGCTGAAGGTGGTGGTACCGCGGGTCCCAGAGGTGCTCGTACTGGGAGTACAGGAGCTGCTGGGCCTGCGGGTACGACTGGAGATGGAGCTGCTGAGGGTGTTGGCACTGAGGCTACTGCTGTCGGTCCTGGAGGCGGTCCTGTTGGGGGTGCTACTGGTGCTGCTGGAGGTACTGCAGCTGGAGGTGCTGATCGCGCTGCTTCTGCCGCTGGGGGTGCTGGTGCTATCCTTGCTGTGTCTGGAGTCGTCGCGCGGCCTCAGCCGTACTTCGTTCCGCTCCTTCAGTAGGTTCTTGGTCCTCCTCCTCCCTTAGCGTGTCCACAGCCAGTCCACTCACAGCCACAATTACTGCCTGCCTCCCCACTGCCTGCTCCTTCTCCCTACACTGGTCCTACTGGAGGTCTTGCTGAGCGTCGTGAGCCTGCGTCTCGCCCTGCATCGCCTGTTCGTGCTGCTAGCACTAGTGGTCGTGGTTCGCGTCAGCGTCCTCCTCCTGTCCCTGCCACGCACCGGATGTCTCTGCGCCCGTCCATTGCTCCTCTCTTCCTGCTCTTGCCGACTCGGAGTCGGACTCTCTTCATGCTACCAGTCCTACTGTCACGCGTCTCCTTGCTACTGTCGTCACTGACCCCTCCTTTGAGTCCATTGCTGTCTCTGCCCTAGTTGCTGAGCTCGTCAAATTTGCTGCTCGCTGTCGTCTAGACTACGCTGCTATTGAGTCTGCGTCTGTCTTTCCTCCGTCCGTCGGGGGTGAGTGTGCTCTTGGCACGGACGTCCTTGAGGACAGGCAGGAGGAGTTCCAGTGTCTTGCTGCTACTTCACCTCATCTCGTGTCCGTACTGCTTACCTCTGAGGGAGACCCGGATGCACTTGACATCCCGACTCCGCGCTCTTACGCGGAGGCCGTAGAGGGTCCCTACTCCTCTCAGTGGCAGGCAACTATGGACGCAGAGATGGCTTCCTGGAAGTCCACAGGCACCTACGTTGACGCGGTTCCCCCCGCTTGGGGCGAACATCGTCAGTGGCATGTGGATCTTCAGGGTGAAGCGGCCGCCAGGTTCTCCACCTGTCTTCAAGGCGCGGTACGTGGCTCATGGCTTCAGTCATCGGCAGGGAGTTGACTACTTTCAGACCTTCTCTCCCACCCCGAAGATGACCACTCTTCGAGTGCTGCTGCACATAGCTGCTCAGCGCGACTACGAGCTTCAGTCTCTTGACTTCAGCACTGCTTTCTTGCAGGGTAGCCTGCACGAGGAGATCTGGCTGCGCCGCCCACCTGGCTTCACTGGGACTTTTCCTCCTGGCACCTAGTGGAGCCTCCGGCGGCCAGTCTACGGTCTCCGCCAGGCACCGCGTGAGTGGCACGACACACTGAGGACTACGCTTGCGGCTCTTGGGTTTGCTCCCTCTACTGTCGACCCATCGTTGTTTCTGCGCACCGACACATCTCTGCCGCCGTTCTACATCCTCGTGTACGTCAACGACTTGGTCTTTGCCACAACTGACTCTGCTGGACTCGCCCACGTGAATTCTGAGCTGCAGAATAAACACACGTGCACAGACCTGGGTGAACTGTGCATCTACCTTGGCTTGCAGATCACCCAGGACAGAGCACACCGCACCATTACTCTGACTCAGTCACACATGGTGCAGCAGGTCCTTCAGCGCTTCGGCTTTACGTACTCCTCGCCTCAGGCCACTCTTCTGCCTACTCGCCACTCACTCTCAGCTCTGCCTTCGGATGAGTCCGTAGAGTCGAGTGGCCCGTATCCAGAGCTTGTTGGCTGCCTCATGTACCTGATGACTTGCACTCGTCCTGACCTTGCATACCCTCTTAGCATTCTCGTGCGCTATGTTGCTCCTGGGAGACACAAACCGGAGCACATGGCCGCAGCGAAGAGGGTGTTGCGCTACTTGTGCAGTACGTCAGGCATGGGGCTTGTGCTTGGAGGGCAGAGTCCAGTGGTCCTTATTGGGCACGCAGACGCTTCTTGGGCTGACGACCAGGCTACGCAGCGGTCGTCACAGGGCTACACCTTCAGCCTTGGTTCTGGCTCTGTTTCGTGGCGGGCTACGCGCTCGTCTTCTGTTCTCGGCTCCAATTGTGAGGCTGAGATCTACGTCGGGGCCATGGCTTCACAGGAGCTTCGCTGGCTCACCTACCTGCTGAGTGACCTCGGAGAGCAGCCTCGTTCTCCTCCAGTGCTGTACGTAGACAACAAGGCCATGCTGGCCTTGTGTCGAGAGCAAAGACTGGAGCACAGAACGAAGCACATTGCTCTTCGCTACTTCCTTGCTCGTGAGCTGCAGCAGTGTGGTCAGCTACGTCTTGCGTACGTGGCCTCTGAGGCCAACACTGCTGATATCTTCACCAAGGCGCTTGCGCCTTGTGATCATCAGCGCTTCTGTACTCAGTTGGGTCTTGTGCCTGCCTTGCCTCACTTGCCCACCTCTTGACCTTGTTTGTACTGCTATATATATATATATATACTCCTGCTCTTGCTTGTCTAGCCTTATATATATATGTGTACTCCTGCATGTGAATTGGCCTTGTGGCCTTGACCTTGTGCTAGGAATGTGTGGTGACTTGGTGATCCACCCTGAGCTTGCTTTGCTTTGCTTTGCTTGATTGGTCTTGTGACCCCTTGTTCTCCCCCACTTTGCCTATGGGGGTGTGTCAGATTTATATGACATAGCTGTTGTAGGCTATAGCGGGTTAGCACATATGGGGTACAACTTTGTAGGGTTTGTATTTGTACTCAACTTTCACTTAGTCATTGCATTCTCGTTTCTTCTCAACATTGCCATTGGTGCCGTACTGCTACAAGACTTCGGCAACGGCCTACAGCCCATCGCATACGAGTCACGAAAACTGCATCCGCCTGAGCGAAATTACCGATACACGACCGCGAAATGCTCGCGATCGTGCATGCGTTCAAAGTGTGGCGCTGCTACTTGACCGGCGTAGACGTGACAGTACGGACAGAACACCGATCACTAGAGTACCTCCGCGCACTGCCCTACCTCAACCTACGACAGATTCGGTGGCTCGATTTCCTCGAGTCAAATCTCCACTACACAGTCACCTATAAAAAAGGAGCCTCGAACATCGCCGACGCGCTGACCCGCCCCACTGCCCAGATCCACGCGATACTACTCGTCCAGACCAGCCCGCTACTGACAGGACTATTTACCCACGGATATCAAACGGACCCATTCTTCACAGGAGGAAATTCGCAGCAGTTCGCAGCAGCCAAGGGAGTCTATTACGTAAAAGCCGGGATCGAGCGCATCTGGGTACCAGGGTACACACGGCTACGGGAATTACTATTACAGGAGGCACATGACGGGGTTACCTCGGGACATTTCGGGGTAGAGAAAACACGGCAGCAATTGGAGCGGTATTATTACTGGCCCGAAATGTTGACCGACGTGCAGCGACACGTGGCATCGTGTCCCACTTGCCAGATCATGAAGACAACACGGAAGCGGTCGGCGGGACAGTTGCAGCCAATCCCACCTCTAGAGCGTGCTTGGCAGCAGGTGACGATGGACTTCGTCACGGGGTTACCGGCCGGGGCGAGTGGAAATGACGCGATCATGGTCGTCGTTGATCGACTGAAGAAAATGGCACATTTCGCAGCCTGCAAAAAATCAATCACAGCCAAAGAAACAGCCCGCCTCTTCATCTCTACCGTCGTTCGACTGCACGGGATACCAGCATCAATCATCAGCGACAGAGACACGAAATTCACCAGCAACTTCTGGCGAAACCTGTGGCAGCAGTTCGGCACGCGCCTACGGTTTAGTTCATCGTACCACCCCGAAACAGACGGACAGACAGAACGGACAAATCAGACCATGGAACAGCTCATCCGGGCCACGTGCGACGACCCAAACACATGGGCACAGCAATTGCCACTCATCGAATTCGCATACAACAACGCCCCATCCCCCACGACCCAACAGTCACCGTTTTACCTGAATTACGGACAAGACCCAACAGTACCCATGACCCCGAACCTCGACAGCCCGGTTCCACGCGCGCAACAGTTCGCCGAGATTTTGCAAGCATAACGGATCAGGGCAGCAGACGCAATTAAAAAGGCTAACATCATCGCTAAACGCAACGCCGACCGCCACCGCAGGACCTGTCACTTACCAGCCTGACGACTCAGTTTTACTCGACACCCAAAATCTCCGACTGCCCATCACCCCGAAACTCCGCCCCCCGATACTGCGGGCCATTTCGCATAAGCCACATGATAACGCCCGTCACCGCCCACCTCCTCCTCCCTGCTGACTGGTACGTCAGCCCCTCGTTCCACGTCAGCCTGCTTCGCCCTTACGTCCCGTCCACAAGCCAACTCCCTCGCAACCGCCCAGCCAGCATGACATGACCGCCGACTGAACCAATCATCACCCCCGAAAAAATCCTGAGCCACAGAGTTCGTGACCCTCACAGAGCCCGAAGGATCGAGTTCCTACTCCGCTGGAAAGACCGTACACCCACCGAAGACAATTGGGTTCCCTTGGATAGAATCGAAAACCACCTCGTCCTCATCGAGTATCTGCGCAGCAGAAAGGGGGGTAGTGTAAGGAAAAATCCTTTTCCTTACTTCGCATCTCTGCTCAACTCGTACATCACTGTAGCACCACAGTCAGCACCGTTACCACTCGCAATCCTCGCATCGACAATCCGCCCGCCACCTTCGCACGTCGCACCCCGACCTCACGGCTCGGCGGGTTGTTGAGTTACTAAGCATGAGTAGGCTTAGGAGCCATAGGTTTAGTAGATCGAGTTCGAGGGTAAGGAGGAGTGTCGAGAAAGTGAGAGGGGAATGAGGGTGTTCACTATAGCACAAGAGTACATATAGCAAACAGAGCATGCAAGGTGCACCACCAACTAGAAAGTTATATGACTACAGTATTCTACACTACAGTCAATTATAGAACAATATATAGAATTATATATTAGTCTGACACGGGTAACCCGCGCTCCGGGCCTCCGCTCGACACTTTTCCCAACCTCAGTCCCAGGCCCCGTCGCGCGACAACGACAGTCCATTACCGTTACCACTGTAGTTTCGCTATATATTCTTCGCTCATTCCTTCGCTCATTGGACTCTTGCTTCGATGGTGCAATTCTCGTTCGTTCACTCAATTGCACTCGTAACAGCTATACACGATGCCCGTTTGACTAACCCAAGGTTGCCCTGCTAAGAGGGCTCTTAAGTCTTGCATTTCGCTAAGTTTTCGTCAATTCGCACTTAGCAAAAGGGCCTTTTAAAAAGATTTTGTAACTCACTGTTGACCGTTTGACATGGGTCTCTTCTGTCAAACTTTCGGTTTTTGTGGTTCGTATTGCTCGAGGTGCTTATAAACAGGGTGCAACTGCCTGGTACCCTAATACACGGGTGCAGAGTTTCCATCGCGGGCAGAGCAAATTCGCGTGTAGGGGTTGGGCACCTTGTGTACCATCAGCTAAAAGTGGCTAACATTGAAAATATCTCAGATTTTCTTTGCCAACACGACACGGCATGATTTTTTTACCTGTTGTGCCCCTCTGGCTCGTGGTGGCCCGATTGGTTAGCGGGAGATTGTCAACGGTCAAACAATCCTTTTCCCATCCCATCCCATCCCCCTCCCGCCCTCAACTTCCCACAGCCATCTAAGGACTGCTAATTAAAGGATTCACTTTACTACGGTTCTGTATGTTGAATAGCATCTATAACATTACTTAAAACGGTTGAATAGGGTTGACGGAAAATCAACCAGAACGGCACCCCCCTTATCTCTTAGCTTGATTCAGCCTACCTGAGGGACACAAACCTGGCTAAGCACAGCACCACCAACCTTGGCCTGGAAAGAGCCTTTCCCCTTGGTTCTGTTTGTGAAAAGCTGGCACTTCACTCTTGGAAGCTCTGCGATTCTGTTTCATAAGCGTCGCAGTCTCCCTTCCTGGGTCTCGGGTCGCTCCCTCCCAAGCTCCTCTGGGAACTGCTACGCACCATTGCCACATAGCTATCAAATGTGAGAAGCATTCAACCCTCCATTTTCGAACAATTTGACATAGAAGAACCAAGCCGTTGCCCTTCGTACAAAGTTCTGGTGCGTGGTTCTCAAGTCGTTAATTTTTGGCAGGAAAAATGTGGGGGTGGCAGCCGAAATTTCAGCGAAACCAGTTTACATTTTTTCTTGTCAGCCTAAAACATCGTGGCTACACCTAGTTTAGAGAGGTCAATGCGAGTTGATTGCATCACATTGCGTTTCTCGTAGCTGATCAGCTTCTCTCGTGATCTATTTTTTAACATCTCACTATCTCGTCGGCCACCGTAGCGCAATGTTTCCTTAGTTCGCGTCAGGAAACTCAAATTGTACAACCCATCCGAGGTTTGTTGTTATCGCTCAGCCAATGTTGCCCATCGAGAGTGCTAGCTTCAATCAATTCACCCCCATCGCATTTCCCTCCCTCTCTCCTACGCCAGGTGCATTCTCTCTAACATTTAATAACATCTTCGTTTCCACCATCTATCCCACCCAACTCCCTCCCTCAGCCTTTCCCGTCCGAACGTGATCCGGACTTCAACGCGTGACAGGAGCGTCACAAAAAGACACATTTTCTTATATTGATAGAAAAAAAAAGGGTCACAATGTTTCTCCGCAAGAAGAGCTCGCTGACGTCCAACATCCTGGGCCGGCCGCCGGCTGACATCCGCGACAAGTTTCTGATGGGGAAGGAGCTGGGCAAGGGGCAGTTCGGCGTGACTTACCTGTGCACGGACAAGGTCACGGGCGAGCAGCTCGCGTGCAAGTCGCTCGCCAAGCGACGGATTGGGTCCAAAGAAGAGGTTGAGGATATCAGGGGGGTGCAATGTGCGCGTCAGATGTAGGACATTGAACGGCTGCGATTGCGTGAAGGGCTTTGGACGCTCAGAGCTTTCAAGGAAGAAAGATGCATGGCATTGCATGTGGGGCATGGCATTGCATTTGTGAAGCATTGCATCTTCCATCATGCATCTCCTTGCGCTCCCTGTGTTCTCTCAGGAAGGAGATCGTCATCGTGCATCATCTGGCACCCGCACATCGTGCAGCTGAGCTGAGGGGCGCCTTCCCCTTTTTCCCCTCCCCTTTGCCTCCATTCCTCCCTGTTGCTTGCCGTCCCTATCCCCCCTGTTTCTCTGCCACCTCCCAGGAAGGAGATCGCCATCGCCATCATGCATCATCTGGGCGGCCACCTGCACATCGTGCAACTCCGAGGTGCCTTCGTGCACAAGCACAACGTGCACATCGTCAAGGAGCTCTGCGCTGGCAGCGAACTCCCTTTCACACACAGATCCACACCCGTCTCATCTCCTCTCCTCCCTCCTCCTCTCCTCCCTTTCACCAGGGATCTACCATGCCTGTAGTTTCAGAGGCGTACCCCTCCTGTCCCCCCCCCGTCTTCTCCCTGATTCCTCCCAGGAAGGAGATCGCCATCATGCACCACCTGGGCGGCCACCCGCACATCGTGCAGCTGAGGGGCGCCTTCGAGGACAAGCACAACGTGCACATCGTCATGGAGCTCTGCGCGGGCGGCGAACTCTTCGACCGCATCGCCGCCCGGGGCCACTACAGCGAGCGGGCGGCATCGGCGTTATTCAAAACCATGATGGGGGTGGTCGACCACTGCCACCAGAATAATGTCATTCACCGGGACTTAAAGCCCGAGAATTTTCTGCTCGCGGACCGGAGGAGGATGCGCCGCTGAAGGTGGCGGATTTCGGGCTGTCGTCGTTTTACAAGGAGGGGGAGGTGTTTACTGAGACGGTGGGGAGCGCGTTCTATGTGGCGCCCGAGGTGCTCAAGGGGAAGTATGACAAGGCGTGTGACGTGTGGAGCTGCGGAGTCATTCTCTTCATCCTGCTCAGCGGCACCCCGCCCTTCTGGGGAGGTGAGTGACTGCTCTGCGGACCCTCTATTCCCCTGTACTGACTGCTCTACCTCACTCCCTCCCCCATTCCCGTCCTCCTCCCCCCTTCCCCCTATCCCTCCCCACCAGACATGGAGAAGCAGATCTTCCACCCCAGCCTTTGCAGCGGACCCCTTATCTCACTCGTTACCCACCCCCATCCCTCCCGCCTTCTCCCACCAGACACGGAGAAGCAGATCTTCCACCAGGTCCTCAAGGCCACCCCGGACTTTGCAGCGGATCCCTTATCCCCCGTACTATTTCCCTCTCCCTCCCTTCCACCCCTCCCAACTCCCCTCCTCCCTCCTCCCCCCATCGTTCTCCCCAACCAGACACGGAGAAGCAGATCTTCCATCAGGTGCTCAAGGCGAATCCCGACTTTGCACCGGACCCTGGCCCTCCCCACTCATCTCCCCTCCCCACTCACTACTTTCTGCCATCTCCCCCTCCCCCCCACCACCAGACACGGAGAAGCAGATCTTCCACCAGGTGCTCAAGGCGAGTCCTGACTTTGCAGCGGACCCCCCTATTCCCCTGTAACACGACTCTGTCTTCCTGACTGTGCCCCTCCTCCCCACACCAGACACGGAGAAAGAAGCAGATCTTCCACCAGGTGCTCAAGGCGAGTCCTGACTTTGCAGCGGACCCCCTATTCCCCTGTAACGACTGCTCTTCCTCTGCCTGCCCCTCCCTCCCCCCACCACCAGACCACGGAGAAGCAGATCTTCCACCAGGTGCTCAAGGCGCAGTCCTGACTTTGCAGCGGACCCCCTATTCCCCTGTAACGACCTGCTCTTCCTCTGCCTGCCCCTCCCTTCCCCCCCCCACCAGACACGGAGAAGCAGATCTTCCAC